CACTTTTTACAACATACCTAATGATCAATTGGAAAACCCTCAACCAAAAACTATTTGAAAAAAAAAAAAAATTGGGACCCTAGTCCGAACTGAATTGCCAACACAGTTTCATTTAACTCCCAGGGGATTGAACTGCCCTCATAGTTTTATCTCTAACCCCCTGGTTATAACCCCTGGTACTCCACAGGGGGTATTTATTCCCCCAGCTGACACGAGTAGGCATTCTGCTGAGAAACCACCGACCCGGCTGCTCCGAGATACCAGCTAAGTGATTTTGTGCATCTGTGTAGTATTGTTTGATTTGTATGTGCTGATGAAGGCTCCATAGCCGCAACGTTCACGTTTTGTTTGTATTTGTTATATTGTGAAGCTTGCTAATATACTTTTCATTAGGTTTTATATCTTTTCAGAATATACATAGTAAGGCAACAGAGATCAAAGCTGCCTTTTTCTCTCACCATTTTGTGTCAAACCATTGCCTGACAATGATTCCTCACCATCTCTGGTAGAGGGGACAGAATTTCTGCGATCACTGTGGTGGACATCTACTTGTACAATGTGCATGTTTTCTAGAGTGCTATCGCTACTGTAGCTGTCACTTGTTCCCTCGTTGTTGGTGCCCTCTGCTAGCCCTTGACTGTGAATGACAACTTGTGGATAAAGGTTGTTTTCTTCTATGGCTGTAAAGGAGATGGGTGTCATGCTGTTAGCTGAAACAAGATTTCAGATCATTAGATTACGATGCTTGATCTGTTTTCTGGTTGCTACCATTTAATGATATTTTCTAAAGGTAATTATCCCCGTGGGGTTTCAGGTGCCCCAATGTAGGGGAAACAAGTATAGACCCACTGCCTCACCAACAAACATGTTGTAAGAGGCGACTAATTAGGTGTCTTCCTTTAAAGTCAGAATGCAGCATCTACCTGATAGGCAAAGGAGCCAACAGTCTCCATTCAAATAACTCAGATTTGTAAAACAGATGTACACACAAAACTCAAGCTCTGGAATAAGGTTTAAATCCAGAAGTAGACTAACAACAAGATTTTGCCACAGGAGTTTATACCCGGTTAATGCAAAGAAGATGGAGAGAATGTAATTAACACGTAGGCATGGCTATAAACACGACACAGATCATTAGAATTTACAGCTAGATTTGTTTTCTGGTTCTGCTTGATTTGTGTTATGGCTGCTATTACAGGTTGGGAACTTATCAAGAACTCACCCGCACAAGGAGAGTTCCTTACCTTCCCATTCATGCTGCAGCGGGTGGCACAGTCTGTGCTATGTTGTGTGGGTATTATTGAGATGGCTTCTTTTTACATTCGCTTGCTGCATATACATTTTGTGAGAGGTTGTGTTGTCGTGAGTCTTTTGAGGCAGTGCAGGCGCCTGTGTACAAGTAAGAAGTACCACAGAGCAGAAGAATCAAAGGTGCGACTGTTCGTGAATAATGAAACTGGGATATTTTTGTATTTCTACTTTCCTTGGCAGTGGCTCCCCCATAAAAAAGATGCTACTGACAAGGAACACAGAATTACAAAAACATTGCAGTTTCCGTTCTCCTGAACCATCGGGCAAGTAGCACAACTTAGAAATAAGCATGCAAGTTAAAAATATAAGGAATACACGACATCCCCGCAACATAGGACAGGCAGTGTGACCCGTCCTGGCATAAACAGAAAAGGAAAGAACTCTCGTTGTGCGTGAGGGGGGGATTTGTGATAAGTACGACAGGCTGATATCTCCTGAATGTAAATAACTGTAAGTATTGGTGAAAACAGGACACAGATCATTAGACAGGACACAGATCATTAGACAGGACACAGATCATTAGACAGGACACAGATCATTAGACAGGACACAGATCATTAGAATATACAGCATGATTCTTTTTCTGGCTATTGCTAGTTTTGGTTTCTGGTTGCTATTATATGCTGGTATCTCCTGAAAGTAAACAATATATGTCTTAGCACTGCTGTGAAAAAAGACATAGTTGCTACTAATATAGCTGGTGTCAGTGGTTTAGGGGTAATGAACAAAGCTTCATAATTCCCAAACTTCGGGCTTGATTCAGCTGCAGGCAATTTTGCAGCAGATCACTCTGGATGGATTTCAACAATGGTATTAGTGTTGGTTGATTAAAAATTAATGGCAAGCTACTTAACTTAAAAGTGCATAATAAAACCAGTCAAAAAATGCTGAGATTAGGTCATGAAGTTGCAGAAAAGACAGAATTTATGTTGCTAGCATTAAATAAGGAAGATAGATAAATACACATCTGCATAGTTTTTAAACTGGCCCTAACTAGTCCTACTGAACTATCTGTACCTTATGTGGAACAGATATTCCCATGTTCTAATTTAGCTTTGATCTATGCACGTTTAACTCAGAATTATAATTATGAGTTCTTCTTCTTGAATTATGTGTTATGAGTTATGAGTTAGATTATCTTCACAGCACTCAGGACACATCCATAGGCGCTCAGATTCTAGTCTCAACATATTCATCCACGTCGTGCGGTTAATAGTACCAGTAAAATGTTGGTTAACAAGACTTTGTGTGCGTCCAGTGTGCTTCTCATGCTTGGCTGTGCTGATCTTTACTCCCGATTCGCGTATTCTTAGAAGTGATGTGGACACGTTGCTTCAAAAATCCTCAGAACGTCCTATCTCTATAAGGGCAATGACAATGTCTGCGTGATCCATGGGCAAGCCATCTTCAATTAATGCAGTGCCTGCCAGTCTATCAGCTCTCTCATTACCAACAACGCCTACAAATCCCTAGGATGAATATGAAAGTAACTGCACACACAGGAGAATTTTGTAATGACTCAAGCCACTGTCTGCGTAACCAGCATGCCTCGACCCGCCGGATCATACTCAAAGAATCACTCAGCACACACACGCGGGAATAGTCCTGTGATCCCAGCCACATGAAAGCCTGTGTCACCGTCATCACCTCCATCATCATGCTGCTGGTGGTCATGGAGAAGGCACTGCTGGTGGTGAAGAAGAACTCAGAATTATAATTCTTCTTCTGCTTTTTCTTCGTGTTCACCAGCTGTAATTGCTGGCAGAAAGTTCTGGTTGTCCATCCACTTCTAGAATAGGGGTCTAGTTCCAGAACTTCAGTTTTGCATGCACATCAGTGAAACAGAGCTGGCTTATTCGTATATAGACTGATGATTTTCCCTCTCTAAGGCAGATGCACGCGACTTCAAAGGAAACACCCAAAACTAGTTGCCTTTTATGGCCTCAGAACACAGATGCAGTGAATTATAACTGACTTTGCTTCAAATAAAGCTGATCTTGTTTTAAAGTAACTGTTGTGTTGAGATACATGCAGTGTTGGAAAGGAGTTAAAAGCAAACAAAAACATGCATACAAATGTTTACAAAACAGCACAGATGCACAAGTAAAAGTCAACTTTGGGGATACATACTGCGACTCTCAGCATCCACTTCAGTAATAAACTGACTGTCAAGCAAATACTGGCAAATTTTCACTGCTGATTTTGTGGTCACAGTTTCTGATGGCAGTGACAAGTCTAGGAAAAAGGAATTACATTTTTATAAACTGCATCATTTAAACGGGTAAACAAATTAAGATCTTATATTTTTATCATTTTTACTAACAACAATAAAGGTGGGGGGGGGGGGGGGGGAATTTAGTTTAATTAGTAGTTTAAAAATATTTGCCCATAAATATAAGCCATCGGTTGTCAGCCCAACTCTGTGGCTGAGAAATCAGTGAATGCATTTCACAATTCCATAATCCTCAAAGTATAAGGGTAAGATTTCCATGGAGGACGATTTATTCCCAAATAAAGGTTCTCATGGATTTGGATTGGGATATGAGAGTCACACCATGGAAGAGACTAGGGTCTGATTCTGTAATATTTCCAAAGACAGCAGTGAGTGCACTGCAGCCTACCTTCATTACAGAAACAGCATATAGTTATTAAAGCTGCTATCAGTCAGATGTTACCTATATATATATAGAACCATTTCAACTGTCCAAAATTCTCAATGAAATTAACTGCTAATATCTAGTCCGTTATTTAAAAAAAAAAAAAAAAAACGTTAGTTGCCTGTCATTTACAAGACATTGCAAAACCAACCACAGTATTTTCTGGCTCTCGTGATTTCATTAGGTAATTTTATGTTCAGTATTTTGCCATTGCCTCCTGAAAGGTCAGCTCTTGTTAACACTGTTGAAACCAACACAAGACAGTCTGCAGTCAAATCAACCGCAGCTGGGATTGAATCCGGCACCTCAGAGATACGAAGCGCATTTGCAAAGCCTAAGCTGGCAGTCCGTTGTTGTCGGTTCAGTTTTTAAAATGTTTACCTGTGCTGTTAAAAAAAAAAGTTGACTTTTAAGTGGTTGGTTAAATGAACGCGTGATGACAATATCAGAACTCACTGTAAGCTAACCATTATAGTATTTCAAAGAGCAAGGGATCAATCTGATGACCTCTCTATGGTTTGGGGTCTTATTTTGTGGATAAACTAATTCTTTTAATGCTAGGTTCTAAGCGGATGCTTCTCTTCTAATATAATTATCACCACCCTCATGTGCTGAGCCAATAGATGGTCAAATTTGCTTATCTCACATGACCACCTGATCAGTCAGTGCTCTTGTCCCGCCCCATTCATGTGATCAAGCCATCAGGGTGATATTCAACACTGACAGGAAAAGATAGGCAGACTTTCAATCAGATTGCAAACTGGCACTAGCAGCATGGGGACTCTTCGTTGGCTTCTGAGGAAGAAGACGGAGCACATGTGGGAATGTCCCGAGCGAAGCGATGTCAATTCTTGATTAATTAAATTTTCTTTCATAAATACATAGCATAAACAATGTAAATTACTATGAAAAATAAACTTTTTTACTGACAGAATCTCCTGTATAAGAGATATGATGAAATAAATATAACAGCCTAAAAATGAGGTTTCTCATCAAGGAAGTGAGGAAGTGCAAAATATTTCAGAAAAAGACCTGCCTGCAGGCAAAGCTTCTTTATTTTTCACAATCCAGTGCACAAGTTCTGCTCCACTGAAAGACTTGCGTAGAGACTGCAGTTCATGGTGGATTCGATGAATGATAGCTGGAGGTTGTCGAGCTGCATTTTCCTCCAAGGTAAGGTCATCTCCCTCAAAATACTGCAGGAAAAATACAAATGCCAATTTTCATATTTAAAAAAAAAGACATTAAAACAGATACACCAAAGGACACAATTGTACATAACTTCAAAGCAGTGACAAATATCAGGAGAGATTAGCCAGTTTTATTGTTTAAATTATTAATAAAGTGGGAAGAGGTACTTCAATGGCTAAAAATGTATTGACCAAAAAATCTAAAATTTAATAAACTATATCAAAGTAATGTTAACAAGTGACAAAGAGCTCTTGCAGGTTCATCATCATCATCAATTCTCTTTATGCCTAGTGGCACATAAGGCTTCATAGAGGACTTTTCATGCTTTCCTGAGTGTGCAATCTTAAGTGCAGTTTTCCATGTCAAAGATGCCGCATACAGGCCACTCTCCATTATTTGTCGCCATGTTGTTTTTGGGTTCCCCTTTTTTCTCTTACTAAAGCGGTCTTGGCCATTTCAAATATGGCTCCTACAGCCCGGAAGCCAATTCTTAATTTGGTTTTGACGTCCAGTAGACTTGTTTTCCCATCATAGGCTTCCTTTCAGCTTTCACCCATGCTGTTCATGCTGACAGAGGGACTCTGTCCCAAGACCGCCGGATGTTTAGAATACCTATTTCCTCTTGAAGTTTCAGTAACGTTGTAGTTGTTTTACAGGGCAGAGCTGTCAATTCTGCACCCAACCCCTGAGCCTTGCAGGTTGGTCCAACCTAAAATGGATACCAGGAAATGTCCTAGAAAGTTAAAATAGCTGGCATGATGTTGATCACATGACCTCAAAAGTGCCAGTTTGGTCTATAAACACAGGAGTCAAGCATCATATGCTTGATATGTCAATGGCGGGAAAAGGTCCTTTACTATTAATAATAAAATAAGAATATTATTAATAATATGGTCATATTTTTTAATATTATTTTTAAAAACAAAACACACACTTACACACACAAACTGAAACAAACAACTTACGTAATATCTGAGACTGTGAAACAGGGCAATGAGATGGGATGTGGACAAAGTGTACAATTGAAGCTGAAATATTACATGATTCTGAAAAGACAAGAGAATTTGTTTCATTATTAAATAGGTAGAATTAACAGAATACTATACAATACAGGGTTGTTTAAAAAAAAAGATACTTTCCTTCATGTATATTCCCTTAAATATACATTACATTTTGATAATGTACATACAGGAGAGAAAGGTCTAAAGTTTACAAACTTACAACAGAGATTACAGATGTTCAATATGGCCGAAGTCTGCTGCTTGGCAAACATCTAAGCGGTAGCCGAACTAATCCCAAAACCAAAGAAGCATCTCTTGGTAAGTGAGTTCAGTGCAGCTGTGATACGGTTCGGCAGGTCAGCCAGTATTTTTGGTAGATATGGTATGTAAACATTAGACCTTCCTCTCTCTCTTGTATGAACATGATTAATATGTAATGTATATTCAAGGAAATAAACATGAATAAAAGTGTATCTATCATTTTGAATAACCCTGACTATTCTGATTACAAATAAAGTGCTGTCTATATAGGGAAATATTTCCCAGATTTAAGGAAAATGAATGAATGAAATTAAGCAGGACGAAACTGGGAATATTTCAGTTGAGTTGAGGTAATTCAAGAACCGACAACACAGCACTTGGGGCATTCTCATAAGTGCTCTGTCCCCATCTTCAGCAGCCAGTGAAGAGTTCCAATACCAATGGTGCCAGTAGCATTCTGATTAAACGTCTGTCTTGCCTTTCCTATAAGCCTCGAGCATCAGCCAGAAATCCTCCTCACTCCCCGCTGCATCAATCTCACCAGACTTTGGTGATCTATCTGCTCCTCTGAACTGTACAGGCTCTCCCACAAGGCACTAACCAAGTCTTACGATAGATGGTAGAAACGTCAACAGAGAGAGCAAACTGAAGTATCTGGGATTATTTAATTAATAAGTTTAAGTGAAAATTTTTTTGAGCTGAGCATAAATATTACCTTAATTAGCTGACACCACTTTTGTGAATTAAATACCTATGAAGAAAACTGTGTAGACAAATGGTGTATAAAAGATATTTTAAAAAAAAGTAACACCCAGCTAAATAAAGCCAAACTATTGGTAAGGTAGCTGACAACCTAGAATCTCAGGTTCACATTCTAGAGAACAGGAAAAGAATTTCTTACTAATTTTTATTTAAGCTGAGGAAACAAATTTATTACATAGGTTTAATTCTCACAATTAATTCTTTTCCTCTTTTCTTTAACAACCTACTGTTAAGGAGGGGGGGGGGTGGTGTGCCAAGTGTGTGTGCGTGCGTGCCTGTGTGTGTGTGTGCGTGCGTGTGTGTGTGTGGGGGGGGGTGTGGTGTGTGGGGCTGTGGTGGGTGGGTGGGTGGGGATGGATGGATGGATGGATGGATGGATGGATGGATGGATGGATGTATGTATGTATGTATGTATGTATGTATGTATGTATGTATGTATGTATGTATGTATGTATGTATGTGTGTATGTATGTATGTATGTATGTATGTATGTATGTATGAATGTGTATGTATGAATGTATGTATGTATGTATGAATGAATGTATGAATGAATGTATGTATGTATGTATGTATATATGTATGTATGTATGTGTGTGTATGTACATATATGTATATATATATATATATATATATATATATATATATATAGTATATATATATATATATATATATATATGGTATGTATGTATATATATTAATATATATATATATATATATATATAGATATATAATTATATATATATATATATATAGAGAGAGAGAGAGAGAGAGAGAGAGAGAGAGAGAGAGAGAGATAGAGATATCTGCTAATCACATACACATGCTAATCACAACTGGTGCCTACCTACTGAAAAATTACTTACAGCTTGAGCAAGCAGCAGATCTTTCTTGATGCCTTTACCACTGTTGTTCATGAACTTTATCAAATGCTAGAAAAGAAAGAAAAAAACCCCAGAGAATGCAAAGCTCCAAAAATAACTTCATTACAAAAACATTAACAAAAATATCATATGTGATCCTGATATTCACACAGGTGAAACCTCAACAGTGCTCAGAGATCTCAAGAAGCGACTACCCGAGTGTTACAGCATCGGCTTCCAAGCAATAGACCCAGTTGTGATCCTTGGTTAGGGATTTTTTTTTCTCAGGGGGGAGTGAGGGATTCCAAGAGGGAGGGAACTAGCAACAGACTCACAACCCTCTGTCCTACACCACTTTAAAAGAGACAGATAAAGTAGGTAAAATCAGCTGACATCTTCCTTATGTGATCTAAAGGGAAAGAAGGGAAGAGGCAGGCCAAGAAAGACCTAGATACAGAACAAACTTTGAGCATATAACCATGAAGCATCTGACCATCAATGGTGGAGGGTGCTGGTCAGACAGTTAACAGTAACTGGTGACCCAGTGACACACAGTGTTACAGGATGATGATGATGATCTATAGGAGAGACCAGAATATTTAAAATAGCATCCACGTGCACAGATCACCTGACTCTGCTAGACATTAATTTAATATTTACTGCATTATTCCTTTAAAAAAAATACCCATACAGAATTGTTTATTTATGCATACTATAGTGGTGAGACTGATTACACAGTAACAAGATGAAGAGACATCAACTTACACTGATAGTTAACATCCAATTGTGTGCCATTGTGCTGGCAGACATGGGAGATTTCCTGAGATCATCTGTGCGCAACTCAATATCCTAGGAAATAGATTGATTTTTTCAAACAGAAAATTATCAGTGAGTGAACAGGTCACAGACAAAGACTAATATACGACAATCAGTAATCAAAGCAATGTTTCCCCGATGTGAATTTGAACAAAGAAGACCTGACGAGATACAGCGAAATATGCCAGGCAATAAATTGTGCAGTCTATTATTTGTGTCTTCTTTGTTCAAAATCAGTAATCAGTTTATGGGCAAAGTACAATATATGGCAAGCTAAATAAACAAGTTGATATTCATAATACAATATATGGCAATCAGTGACTGAAGAGCTGACAGACATAATGCAATACATGGCAATCAGTGAGTGAAGATATGATTGACATAATACAGACATAATGCAATACATGGCAATCAGTGAGTGAATGATACATGATACAGACATAATACAGGCAATCATGAGTGAAGCATATACAGACATAATGGGCAATCAGTGAGTGAAGATATGATTGACATAATACAATATACAGCAATAAGTGAGTGAAGAGTTGACAATTAATAGACATAATACAATATATGGCAAACAATGAGTGAACTGTTGACAGACACAGTAAAATGCTGTAGTTACTGCTTTTGCATTATGCAGAACTTAACAAATTTTAGGCCTCAACATATAAGGTAGGATGACCAGTTCCTTTCCTTTATCACTTTTCCTTTCCAGACAATAATGAAAATTGAACTTACGCCCATTATTATGATGCTGGTTCGGCTTCAGACATAATGACTCACTTAATAATCACTTAATGTAACAAGAAAGTGAAACACAATACGTATGGACAACACAGAAACTCCCCATGTGGGTTCCGTCGTCACTCTGTTGGGGAAGAAAAAGAATATACCCACTGACCAACTACCAAGCATGTCATAAAAAGGTGAATAATTAGCAGTGTTCTCGTCCAAGTCAGATTGCGTGTGTCTGAGAGGTGAGGAGCCGGCAGCCTGCATACAATTAAACCAGACCTTTAGATCGACTGTGCATGCAAAACTGAAATCCTGGAACAAGATCAAAGTCCTGAAGTGGATAAATTACCAGAGCTTTCTGCCACAGTTTACAATCACTGAACATTTGGATGAAGAAGATACACAAACAACTAAGAGACATGACAATATGGCTGTCATCTTTAAAATACTAACCTGTACAATCAAGACCCACAAGTTATCAAGGACACGCCGGAAACAGTCATGATATAACCACGTGCTGAGACAGTCAAAGTACTTCTGCAGAAACGTGGTCACTGGGGCCAGAGTCTGAACTATGGTCTCTGCAGGATGCTTTTGTTGCAAGGAGAATGAACAGTCCATCCTTCACAAACAAGTTAAGCTGAAAATGAAAGAAAAATCCAATGATAACTTTCAATTTATATTTCTAAAATTCACTCTGTGCCATGGTTTATTAAAAAAATATTTTTCTAGTTAAAATTCATGGTTTTTTTTTTTAACTTCTCATTCCCACTTGACTAAGCTTCTAAATTATAATTAACCCTTTTGCTGCTACGTTTCTGGTCATAGCTGTCTGCCCTGTGCTAAGCAATGTGGAAAAAAAATTTATCTGCTGTGTGCAATACTTTTCAATCCTCCAAATGCAAAAGATGCGTCGGTGGTGAGAGGGCTATATTTTGTACACCTAAAATTTTTTACCCTAGGGAGTTGTGTAGTTGGTCCGGAGTGGTGACAAGTCAGAGGCACGATGGTGCCTCACAAACTTGACTGACAAAGCTATCACCCCCCCCCCCCATTGGTGGAGGGGGGAGGGGGGAATTAATGGGAAGAACTGTTCCCAATCCCTATTCCAAAATTTGATTGACAAACCTACCAGGGCTCCCACTTTAATCATAATTAATTGTAGTCACTATGTTGTTACATAAAAAAAAAATATACTTGAGTCATCTTTTGCTGACAAGTGGCAAGAACTGAAAGGAAAATTTACAATAAAAAAAAAAAAAGTTGGGGGTTGAACACACGACCTTCCAATTCTAAGGCGGACATGATACCAACTACACTAGACTATCTCTTAATGCAATGTATTGTTTGAAAGATAATTTTCCTTTGTAAAGAAGTAGTGATTCATCGACAACCACATCCTGATAAAGTGAAAATGCACCCTGAAACGATGTGCGCAGACTTTCAATAATGTGTCTAATTTTGTACAGTCTTATCGCCGCCTGCATTAGCACTGTTGTCTGAGAAATGTAACATTCTCAACAATAGTACAAATCAGGCCCTCTACATTATTTCACTAAACACAGGAGTTTTTAGCAAACAGTTTTTGCTCCAGTACTCATTTATTTTGAGTTTCTTTGTTCTAAGCATTAGCAGACAGACAGGGAAAAAAAAAAGGTAGTCCAAATCTGTGTCTGTCCATCAGAAAACACAAGAAATTGTAGAGGCAGGTGCCTTCTCAATTACTTCCTTGCAGAACCTGTTAGTTTCCGCTGTGATGAAAGTAATCAGTGATTCCGTAAAAAAAAAAAAGTAGAACAAAAATCAAGCACTGAACTGTTTTAATTTACAGTAGCAGAAATACAGCCAGGGCTGTTTGAATTTACAGAAGCAGAAATACAGCCAATGCTGAAGTCATCAAAATTATGCACTACTGGTATCAAATCATCGGTTGACCAAGACAAATGATCAATTTTTTGCGTTTTGATGGCACTTCATTGTCGCTGCTTTCTGATTTCGATGATGAGGACGTCGGACAGGCAAACTGCTTTTTCTTGGACACGCCGGTTTGAGCCTTCGATATTGATGGCCTGGTCAAATCTTCTTGTTCACTGTCAGAAGTACACGTTTCAAAGTCCTCTTCGCTATCACTCCTTGACAGAAACTCAATTAATTCTACATCAACTTTAACAAGTTTTCCTTCCATTTAGTACTAACAAAGTGTAGAATAATCCAAACCCACAAATATATATCAGGGCACAAAATACACAGATCACCGACCACACTGTCATGGTAAACAAAGCGACGGGCTAATGCGGAATGCAGTAAACACACCTTAAACATACCTGCTTCTAATCGTATGTAATGGGTCAGTTTAATCTAAATATAGCTAATGTATATTGCCTTTTGACCCATAAGACAAGAGGTCGCAGAAATCAGTAAGGAAAGTCCAAAAATGGGTTGAGACGTCCATAGCACTGGGGAGGGGGGGGAAGGGGGGGGGGGTTCAAGAAAAAAAAATAACGTCCAAAGATGGGCATAGCAGCGTACGGGAAAACGGGAAAAGATATCCATAGTAGCGAAGGGGTTAAATATGAACTTCCTCCGTTCTGGAGATCTATTATTGTTACTGAATTTATTCCAGCTATTCTGTTAAGTCTTTCTTTTCCTGATATTGAAAAGTTTAATTTCTTTGGAAGTTAGAGATTAGCTCAGATTTTTCATTTTGGCTGCATAGGTACTTTAAGCATTATTCTGCTAAAAAAACCACAACTCTGAAGCCTCAATGAACGTTTTCAGTCGTAGTAACACATGCATAATAGTTAAAAAAGAAGAGTAATAATTCTCAGAAGAAAAAGCAGGGTCTTCAAACCTGATAGTAAACACAGATATTAAGAATGCACCGCACATCTTGGTTTATGAGAAATGGCAAAAGATGAGGAGTGGCAGGCCAAGCAGTTACAACATCAAGCTCTCATGTGGGAGACCAGGGTTCAACTTCCAGTAAGGCGATGGAGTTTTTCTGTAGGAGACAAAAATAAACATCCTAACCAGCACAGTCCTTGGCAACAGCACTATCCACGTGGTCCCTAAATCCTCAGGTGTACGACCCCCCCACCCCCATCTTGACACCACCCTAAATAGTGATAAATACAGAAAAAGTGACAGGTGGCAAAGGACTCATTTGCATTAGGGTGTGCCAAAATGATAGCCATAGCAAAAGGATCTGTTACAGGATGATGATGATGAGTAACACATGATTCTACTGTAAGCCATTCACCTTGTAAGCTAACAGTCTGCATATACCAGTCAGTGTTGCCATCAGATGCTGGTGTGTCATGTCCACAACCTGCCTGCACTGGTAAGACCATCGACCAAGGACGTCTTCCACGCTGCTTCTGCTGTCAGAACTCAAGCTATCCTCTAACAGGCTGTCATCTTGCATGGACTGATGGGATATGCAGACATAATCTGAGAAAGATTTCAAGATGAGCAAATGAGGATTACGAGACCAAAACAGTTTTACTGATTGCAGATTTAATGATTATACATTAAAACAGATATTACTATCACTGAAAACCAGTTTCCTACCTTTTTTCTTATTTTGTAAAAAGATACAAATAGTCAACACAGGAGACAAACAAATCTGCCTGATTCAGCGATGGCTGTCATAATCACTGATTTAAACCACACCCAACACTGAAAACAGAACAGTGATCTAAGCATTAGGATAAGTACTATTTTATTGCCAGTAGTGCATCGAGTATATAATGCTAGACTCATATTTTTATAGATGATTTGGCATTCACTGGATGATGTTAGTTTGTTTCTCAACAGATAATCATCACTGCAAATCAAACCATTCAGTCCTTAAGTGCTCGGATCCCCTCCTCAGTAAACTCTGCAGCGTTTAGCTGCAGAAGACACCAGTTCTGTGTTGGTTGCTCACTATTCTTTGGCCTTCTGCATAATGTTCTTTTTTGGCCACAGCCTTTTCAGCTTGCTGTTCTTGCAGTCTAGTCATGTTTGAAGATTCACAACTACTTGGGTGTCGCAAACATCTTAAGTGGGTGTTGTGATCGCCATCATGACAGCCTAGTTTACTTCTCAAGATCAAGATTACTCTGTATCCATTTACAAGTAGGTAGACCTGAAAGCCGGGGTCAATTGTGAAAAATCTGATGGGGATCTGAACTTAAGATCTAGCAGTACAATACTACTAATAATGTAGATATGGGCATATCTTGTGTGCCAGTGCTGGATGACAACTAATGCCAAAGAGGTCAAGATATTTCACCAGATGACAACTACTATCCCAGAGATCAAGACATTTCACCAGATGACAACTACTAAACAAGAGATCAATATATTTCACCAGATGACAACTACTAAACAAGAGATCAATATATTTCACCAGATGACAACTACTAAATAAGAGATCAAGATATTTCACCAGATGACAACTACTACACCAGAGATCCTGACATTTCACCAGATGACAACTACTACACCAGAGATCCTGACATTTCACCAGATGACAACTACTACACCAGAGATCAAGATATCTCACCAGATGACAACTACTACACCAGAGATCAAGATATTTCACCAGATGACGACTTCTATCCCAGAGATCAAGATATTTCACCAAATGACAACTACTACCACAGAGATCAAGACATTTCACCAGATGACTATTGTCCCAAAGATCAAGATATTTAACCAGATGACAACTACTATTGCAGAGATCAAGATGGACAGACACAGATTTGGACGAACTATTTTTTTTTTTTTTGGCTGTCTGCTTATTCTTAGAACAAAGAAACTCAAAATAAATGAGTACTAGAGCAAGGGCTGTTTGCTAAAAACTCCCATGTTTAGTGGAATAATGTTGAGGGCCAGATTTGTACTATTGTTGAGAATGTTACATTTCTCATGATGGCAAGACAAAGTACCTGATACAGTAGTCCTTGAGAAAGTAGCTATGCCCAGCATTTCACCAGATGACTATTATCCCAGGGATCAAGACATTTCACCAGATGACAACTACTACACCAGAGATCAAGACATTTCACCAGATGACAACTACTACACCAGAGATCAAGATATTTCACCAGATGACAACTACTACACCAGAGATCAAGATATTTCACCAGATGACGACTACTACACCAGAGATCAAGATATTTCACCAGATGACAACTACTACACCAGAGATCAAGATATTTCACCAGATGACAATTACTACACCAGAGATCCACATTCTACCATTTAGCCAGTTGCTCTTCCCAGATGACAAATAATGATGTAATACGAAAGAACACAGCAATCATGACATCTTTATTTGATGACTGTAAGTAAAAGTTAAAAGTAATGGACCCTTTTTCATACCATTAAGGTGTAATAGACATAGAGTGCTAGATATATATTTTATAGATCTAGCAGAACTCAGTGGGTGATGTGATAAACATTACACCAGCAAAACTTTACTTGCCAGGAAGTTACTTGGTATTCATTTTAGGCTGAGTTGACCTGGGAGCCAAAAAAAGTACGGCTAGATGTGAACTTCAATCTACAACCTTCCAGCCAGTCGCAAGCATCTAGCTGCTACACTACGACGGCTCCTGAAGACAAGTAATGACATAATGCTAATTACCAAACAGAGTCAACACTTTGAGTAACAGCTAAAAACATTTGCTCCACCTTCTGAGACATCGGAGTTTCTTCTTTCAGAAGTATCTTGTAACAGATTAAGTCCTGCATAATCAGCTACTGCTGCAACTTCTTCAATGTGAAAGATTTTCAGCAGCTTTTTCTGATAGGCATCCAAGATGTGCAGACAAGCAAATACGTTGTTGATCCGTGTGCACATGTGTTGGGTTACCGGCTCATGACGGTCACTCAGTAGCTTGGTTTTCCGGTTGACATAGAATAAACAGTCATACGAGGCTTCTGCTTGGTGTCTGCAGCCCCAGATCAGTCCTCCAATCTGTTGGCTCTCGATAAACTCAACAAGCTGGGAGATAAATGAAAACAGATGTAACGTAAATGTAACATATAAATGCCTATTTTAGAATACTAATCTTATGCTAATGTCAATGTTAAAAACTCAATAAATCCAAGTTAAACATTTATAAAAGTCAAGAGAATAAATATAAAGTTAGTTAGTTAGCTGACTAATCAGCTGATCATCCTCACTGTATAATTGACACTCTCCATAAGCGCTGTGATCCCATCTTCAGTACTTCCCTCAACATGATGACATACCAGTTCTGTATTGATTTACTATTATTCTTTGGCTATCTTTACTCTACATAGCACACAACAGAGGTCTTTTCAAAACCTAATAGTGAAAGGCTCAACAGGGTCTTGAGAAAAGAAGATCACTGCTTCATCCGTTGCACTTACCTTGGGGCCAAGCAGTCGTTTGGCCACCGACTTTGTTGTAGCACACAGATCCATACAGATGATGTTGCTGGAGTAAACAATGAGCATATTGCACATTGCCTGAAAATAATTTATATCAAGTTAATGGTACAGGCTTTACTGAAAAGCAAAATAATTCTATGTATTCTTGTATGCAGCTTTATCACTGACTGTGTGTGTTGTATGCTTATGAAGGCTTTCTAACTGCAGTATTAATTTGTAGGTGTTTTATACTGGGAAATTGACTAATTCTATCTACTTCATGTTTAGACTGAACTTCTTTCAATATAATGGTAATCCCAATAAAGATACTAACAAGCTGGAAGGGTATGATGTGACAGGTTTTAAATATGTGATGTCATAGCATTTTCAGATGATGTAACCAGCTACACTGACACTCAAGAGAAACTCCACTATAAACACTGATGACACAGGCCAGAAATGCTGGACTAGATTCTGTAAGGATAAGAGGAAAATTGGCATTAAAGTGGAATTGAGAAAAAACCACCATAATTACTTTTATTTTGTTTTTAAATTGTCGATTTCTGCATAGAATTATTTAATGTCCACAGTGTGGATGGGTGACAGCATTTTTTTTTTCAAACTGTGAAGATTTTGGTTGTCAAGGACTTATGGTAGATGATGAATTGAGATTCACAAACTTTCTGAAACAAATAAGTGCACACTGCCTTGATTTTACAGACCCTGTCCAGCTGTAACACAACCAGGAGGATACGGCCTTGAATGATCATGGCATTAGCAGCTTGGTTTATGTACACATGTAGAAATATGACATGTTGCATGTTTTACAACAAATTGAACCCATCATTCTTCTTCTTCTGTACTTGCCTTTAAAAGGGTGACTGGCATATCATGTTGTGGTTTATAGCAAAGGGTTGGATACCTGCACCTTTCAGTCAATATATCTTCTTTTAGTGAACTCTTAATCAGCTGCTTTTATGACATGCTTGCTAGGGGGCAGTGGGTCTATTCTTCACCCCCTCCCACCCCACCATAAGTGAGTCACCAGAACCCACACAGGGTGGGTCAATCATGCTGAGCCCCAGGTCTAAAAGCACCACTTTGAATCTATCATTACTGTAGATGTGTGAACACCATTCATTTTAAAAATGTGCAGGTGCGACAGGACAATTTTAGTTAACCTTCTCACCCTGAGAAACAGCAAAACCAACACTCAAGTTTATGTCATGCCCCAGTAAATTTAGCTTTACCTGCAGTTATGGTGGCTTGTTCATGAGAAGCCTAGCTAATAGCATTGGTTAAGTTTATGCCTGCACAAATGTTCACAATGACTGGGATGATTACATTTGCTAAAAAATAGCATTTAAGTGGGGGTCTTCTTGTAAAATTTTTATTTTTTATTTTTAACTTAAATCACAATGTCATAACTTCCTCATTAGTCATAGTGGTAACCAGTGACCAAATGAGGGGGTGAAGAATGAGTCAGGATATAAACGAGTCATGACATACATGTTTTAAAAGGCTCAAACAGATGTAACCCTCTTAATTTTCTGCTGCATTTGTGCTTACTGATTTCTCCCTTTATTATGTAATATTATTTGGTCCAAAATCTGAATTGTTAGGATTTTTGTGTGTGACCTGCATAAAAATGGTTTTTGTTTCTAATGATTTTTTTAAGGATTTTGTTTGTTGCCCTTATGGATTCCCAAATAATGGCTGCTGGATGTGTCTTTTTCTAGGTCAATGGGGTGAAAGGGTTAAGAACCGCTACATAAAAACAATGCAATTTGAATGCATGAAAGATTTGTCATTACAAAGACTGCTATACAATATGTCTTTATGAATGAGAATATTTCGATCACATTAAATATAATCAAATCTTACCTTGAGCATTCTCAAATGTAGAGCTAATTTCATTTTCTGTTTTAGCATTGGTGTTAACTCAGAAACAGAGTTTTCAGTTGAAAGTCTTTGAGTGTCTGACTGTGGTAAATTATTACTGTCCATCTGAGTAGAAGAGTTAGTTGGTGTGCTTTCTGCATCTCTGTTTGCAGTAAGCTGAAGCTGGCTAGTCGAAGAACTGTTTGATTTTGATGAGCCAGAAGAAAGTGTCCGTTCATATACTGATGAAATTTCTGCTTTTCCCAAAGAACACTGACCAGTGATGGCAGAACCTGAGAAAAAGTGTTTCACTGTTTGAGAAGATGACTGTCTGCTTTCAGTTGTTGAAGACTTCTCAGCCAATATTACATGAACTAAGTTGCTACAGAAAGAGCACAGACGCTGCAGCATTACTAGTATGTCAACTGCTGAACCAGAGACCGGCATCACAGCTTGATTTATGTCAGAAGGATGTGGGAAAGACACACCTGATTCTATACACTCAGCTATTTCCTGTTCATCTTCTGCAGTGTCTGGTGTTACGCTCGAGGCTCTTGAGGACATGCTGTGTGGAGCATGTGTTTTCAGAATGTGATTTCTGCCTGTGGCTATAGACGGTTTTGGCTTATCACGTTCATATGATCCAGGCACAGAAAATACTGGCCTGGAGAAATCTGAAGGACTGCCTGGACACGTTGATCTTTGAGACACAATTTTTAGAGGTGGGAAATTAAACTCTTCATCTCCAGATTCATATGGGGCAGCTGGGTGACCACCATTCTCTTCACTGTCATTGCTGAGTAAAGACACTGGAGTAACTGTCTGCTTTGGAGTTGTGCTTATCTGGCTAACTCTTTCAGAATTTGAATCAGAAGAAATAACATCCACCTGTGATCTACTGAGGACTGTCCGATGCTGACTGGTGCCTTTTAAAAAATGGTCACTAACACTGAACTGCTGATTAATTGTAAACTGCTGACAGGACCTGGACTCATCAAGATTAGCTGGCAAAGAAAATCTACGATGTGCAGAGAAATAAAGTGACCTGTCAGTAATGTTCCTATTACTAAGAGATCTTGTATCATATTTTGATTTTCCACTTGGTCTCATTTCATATTCAGTTAGTCCAAAATTTTGAATTTCTGCATCTTCAAGATCATCAGTACTTGCAGGAACTTGAGCCTCTGAATTGTCAGGCAAGCAGTCCTAAAATATATAATTGTTGAATATTACAAGAGTGAAAGCTTTTCAATTTAATTCTGATAGGAAATGCCCTGGGATGTATGAACAACCCAATGAAGAAACTTCATTTTCAAAGGGACAAGAGTTGGACCCACTGGCCAATCTAACACTGACCTCACTCCTTTCATCTTGTTTTTTCATTCATACATTTGTTAAGAAGTCATTAAAAAATGTCACTGACTTTAACTATGGGAAGCAAGCATGATGCTGTCCACATCTTCCATTATATGTGAATTCTTATTCTTCAGCATTCTGAGCCCCTGAGGTTCACTGCTGCAGATAGCACCCACCTCTATTCATCTCTGAAACTGGCCTTTGCAGCCCAGCTGCTGACTCTAAGTGTTTGTTGGTCTGCCTGAATGTTATCTCTCCACCGTCTTCTTAGTCTGCCTTGTGGTCTACTCATATTAAACTCTTTTGTTTCTTATTAGTCTGCCTCGTGGTCTACTCATATTAAACTCTTTTGTGTCTTCTTAGTCTGCCTTGTGATCTATTCATATTAAACTCTTTTGTGTTTTCTTAGTCTGCCTTGTGATCTATTCATATTAAACTCTTTTGTGTCTTCTTAGTCTGCCTTGTGATCTACTCATATTAAACTCTTTTGTGTTTTCTTAGTCTGCCTTGTGATCTATTCATATTAAACTCTTTTGTGTTTTCTTAGTCTGCCTTGTGATCTATTCATATTAAACTCTTTTGTGTTTTCTTAGTCTGCCTTGTGATCTACACATATTAAACTCTTTTGTTTCTTCTTAGTCTGCCTCGTGGTCTACTACTGAGTGACAACTGGTCTATGAAAAAATATGCTATATTATAATAATCGACGTCACTGCATACTGGGCATTCCCATGCGTGCTCAGTCCTCTGATGCAGCAACAACTTAAAGATATTTCAACTAACTGTTCCCATTAGAGGCTGGTTAAAATGTCTCCTATCTCGGCCTCGAAGGCGGCATAGATGTGCTTCACCGCGCTCACTCTTATGTTATGCAATTGGGTTAGTGTTAGAGATTCATCATTATCCTCTAACCCAGTTTGTAAAGTGTTGATAATATCTGCTCTATCCATGCTTCTTCCCACATGCACTGATGGATTGCTTGCCAGTTGGTCTGCTCGCTCATTACCCTTTACACATGACCAGGTGTGTAGATCCAGATGAGGGAGATTAGGTGTGATATTCAAATGCTTTCTACCTGTTCAGAGCGCATACTGCCTGTTGCTATCTTCTGAAGCAGGCTCATGGAGTCTGATAAAATTACTGCATGTGTGGCTGTTAGCTCTGCTGCTCATGCTAGTGCTCTAGAAGCAGTGGCTATCTCCATTGCCATGCCTGATATAGTTGCCTGGTAAGCGCCGCTGTACTCTTGTATTGTTTTCCCCATCCTTAGTGCTGTGTATTCTGAAGCTCACCCTGATTTGCATTATGTATATATAAAAATACAGATATAACATATATGCCTGATCAGCAGCTGGTATGTCTGATCACCAACTGGTTCTTTACTTCCCTTACACAAGTTTTAAAAGCACATTGCAATGAATTCCAGTTAATATTGCATGACTGACCTTTATTCCAGGTATTAACTTTTTCAGTCCTAACTAAAGCATCATGTGTGATCAGCTAGGGCCCAGATGTCCCGAACATCACATGATGTTATACGATAAACATTTGATTCATTTATGTTTAAATTCAATATAGCATGTTTTATTTACTATGCTGCCCCCTGAAAATAATGGATGTCTGCTTTATTCTTGTGGCTAAATACTCATTAGGTAACTCCAATGAGATATTGTGGGACTGAAAGAGTTAAACATTAATAACAATAAAGAGAAAACTAATAATGCTTACTGGATGTGGCGTGGCATCCCTAGATGAAATAATGCTGTTGAAGGCACTGTTAATGGAAGGGGAGAGGGATACAAGTGAGTATGATATACTGTGGGTGTCTGATGGAGTTACAGCTGTTTGATACCTTAGAACTGGTTGTGGAAGCTCAAGATTCTGGCTAGTGTACTGAAATATAATGCAAATGAAATGTGGTCAATTGGTTAATCAGAAACATGTAAGATGTTTATGCAATAAGCCTTTATTAGAGAACATATGGAAATGATAACTAGAGTAACTACACTAAGGCATAATAACTTTATGAATATAAAACTAAATAAGTAGTATGAAGAGACAAGAAAAGTATGTACATAACAGGGTGTCACTTTGTCTTAGGAAAGACACATGTTCTCAAATAAATTCTTTTTTTTGTTTGCTGATGTATTATATTTATATTTCATCAGCCCCAAAAAATAGGAACCACATAACTCTTTCAGTACAAAACAACTTATCACATATTTCTGGGTAATTCTGAAACTCTGTTATGTTCTCCCCATGTGGGCTCCTGGGGTCCCATAATGTGAAAAATAAGAACAGACTACTGCCTCCTCCAAAAAGCTAGCTGTAAGAGTCTAGCTGGGGGCTTACTTCGAAGTCAGAGTGCATCTGCCCGAGAGGCAAAGAGAATCATCAGCCTGCATACAAATATGCCAAATCTGTAAAAGGGATGTGCACGCAAAACACTTAGGGTCTGGAACAAGACTAAAGTTTAGAGGTGGACAAACATCCAGAACTTTCCACCGGAGTTTACAGCCAATGAACGTGAAGAAGAAGCAGTAGAAGAAATTATGTTCATGCTGTCTTCTTTCACAGACAGGTGTTAAATTAAGCTTGTGTATCCGAGTTACTAGTTTAACTTCTACTGTTCCATAGTTACTCAGCTTGATTTCTTCAAAGCTAAGTATTTATTACTTGTAAGATTAACTTCTTAAAAAATAGAAGAGTAAAAGAAATCACTCTTGGGATTGAAATAGTTCATGCTGCCCTGTCCAGCAATAACTTAATTCCTCCACCCCCCCCCCCCCCCCCTTTCCGACATGTTTTGAATGTAACATTCATTACAGTTCTGGACATACTGCTTTAACTACAGTTATGTTTTAATTATTACAGTTGGTTTTCTAATCCATGGATTCAGTGTTTAACTGGGTGAGGGAAACAGTTAGCATCTACATTTGAAGACATTTTCTGCGGGAGATGTCGATTCTGTAATCAGTAATCAGGCAAAGACATTTCAAAATACTCCATTCCTGGGAACTGCACCTGGACTGCTGTGTCCATAAGTAAATACTCTTCTGTTTCTGCATTTGCCCTTAAAAGGGTCTAGGCAGTGGTATCTGCAGTTTCAGCCTAATAAATCAGATTTCAGCAAAACCTTTATTACTTGACTTTTATAACACACTTGTTAAAGGGTAGTAGGTCTATTCTTTTTCTCCCCAAATTAGGACCCAGAAGCCCAGATGGGGAAGTCAGTAAGTACTCAATTCACTTCAGTTGATACTACTTTACAACGGTGTCCATAGGTACGTTTACTGTTTATAATCGTGGCAAGTTTTTGCTTTAGACAATAGTAAGCTGTTGCATTTTCCTCTATATGTAGACTAAAAAGATATAGTTTCATCACTCAGCTACTGTGCTGAGCCGATTACATGACACAGTGAGCCGCAAATTTAATTTGGAATGATTTTTAACTTCGCACAAATTGGTTTGTGCTGTAAACTGCAGATTCAGAAAATCGTGAGTGGTTGCTTCCCATTGGTGCAATTGATTTCACAGTGTATTACATATTATTTATATTAACAAATAAAACTGTGCAGTTATGATCAGAAGGTGAAACTTACAGCATCTCCAGCTACGGCATCCAACACCAGATTCTGCAGGTGTACACGAACAGCTGTTGTCCACTGTGCAAGAACTGAGAAAAAGGGCAGGCGCCACGTTTGTTCACTGGTAACAAAACACAGTTGTCAAAATACAATAGCAATATCAAGATTCATAATTCATGTATGAAAAGAACCAGTTTTAAAATATGGCTTGCAATCTTGTAAAATAATTTCTTTTTCTTATCTTCCTCCATTTACCTCAGCAAAGTGTGTGAAGGGGGTGGGGAAAGGGGGATGTAAGGATGGTCTGTACTGTATAAGTTTCTGTAATGTTGTTCCTAACACCATGGTCCCATTGTTCACATGGTCATCCCCTTGTTCTGTGTTCATTATATTTTTTTCAGCATGACTATCTATGGCAATTTTCATCATGGCATTTTTGCCAAATTGTCAAATCATTTCATCTCATAATCAGTATAATTAGTAAGTTAGTTGCATTTCCTTTACAGGAACATTGCAGAACCAATCCAGCATTTTTTGGCTGTTGTGGTTTTTCTAGGCAAGTTAACATCTAGTAGTTTGCCACTGCTTTCTGGAGGGTCGGCACTATGAAGCGCGTTCGCAGCGTCTAAGTCACAGACGTCAACGTAATTAGTAAACACGCCAAAAATATCCACTCAAGCCTTGAAATGTAGTTAAACAATTTTTTTTCACATTACTTCACACAGGTAAAATGGACAATGAGTCAATGTTCTGAAATTACCTTTTTTTCTTTAAATTCACTATTGCTTGACAACATTCTGAGAAGAGACTGGAACAAGTGACAAGTAGAAAGATTTATGGAAAGAGACATAGACTGAGGCAACAAAAAAAGATTCACGACAGCCTTTCTCATGGCTTAGAAAAATATCAACACACAAACTGATTATAAGGTGTGGAAGGATCAACATCGCTCAAACCAGTTGGCAAAGTTTTTATGAGGACAATAGGAACAAGATAATAATTCCTGAAATTTCCTAAATTTAAATTTAATATTTATATGAAGAAAATCAATTACAAACTTTAAAGATTTTTCCCCAAGCACATGACAAATGGATATTACTCACTCAGGTGTAATGTAAGCTGACCAGTCTGCATCAAGTGTATTTAAACGGTAAGCTAAAGCAAGCATACGAAGGTCAATCTCAACCAATGGCTGTGAATAAAATAACTGAGATCAGTATGTTGTCAGCATAAATACAAAAATTGTTCAGTATTGTTGACAAATTGTGAATAAACCATTAAGTGCAAGCAAGAAAAGAAAAACAGAGGCAGCAACACAAGCTGAATCTCTTTTAGGGGTGCCTAGTTGACGATGTTCTTAGTGCACTTGTTTCCATAGCAAGGCGCACACACCACGTGGAGGTTACATGTTCGATTCCTGGCACGGTAACTATAGCTATTGATTTTTATGTTGACTAGTGTGTTCTTCTAACTTTCTATAAGTGCCAATCAATACATTTCCTGTTACTTTATTATTATCTAACTGTAAAGTGACTTTTACTAATGATATTTTAATATAAGTGAAATCTAATTATTTGTTACATCTGTCAACAAATTGCTGACAGTTAGCATTTTCTGTTTACATTCCTCTCTATTGTTAATCCCTTCTTCTTAACATTCACCAGCCATAAACTCTGGTGGAAAGTTCTGGTTGTTCATTCACTCCTGGACTTCGATCTTGATCCAGAACTTGAGTTTTGCGTGCACATCTGTTCTACAGATTTGGCTTATTTTTATGCAGACTGCTGGTTCCTTACATCTCAGGCAGATGCACTCTGACTCTAAAAGAAACACCCCTAATTAGTCACATTCTGCGACATGCTTGTTAGGGGAGCAGTGGATCTATTCTCAGTTCTCTAAAATGGAGCCCCGGAACCCAAAGGGACATTATTAATATCAAGCCCCAGAACTTTTTTTCTTTTGCTCTTTATAACCCAGTCAAACAACTCCCCAAGTTGTCCTATTCCTTGCTACCACGTGCAGCTAACATGTCAAATATCAGAATTAGCTCAATAAAATCCCCCCCCCCCCCCCCCCCCACTCCCCTTTTCTAAATAAAAAAGAATTGCACCATGAAAATAATTTTTAGTCATATTTGTTGAATACTAATGGTCAATAAAAAAAAATGGATGTAACATCATATGTCTGATGCATCTCAGGGTGTGAAAAGTATTCTTTACCTTTTTTACTATTAGTGTTCTTTTGATATTTTTTCTGGGAAATGCACGAGTGTTGGGAAATTAAACAGGCAGACAGCCTGGCTCATTCTGCACCAATGGGTGGTGAATTTATGCATGACTCGCCAGATATGGTCAAGGCCTTTCAGGATCAAGTAAACAATGTGGAAGCACAAAATAATAGATCAGTATGGTCTGGAGTGAATGGTACAGTTGGAAGTGACTAGAGGATCTAGTCGACACTCCACACTCAGAGAAAGGCAATACGGACATAATAATCAAACTACTACTGGCACTATCAGAACTGGAACTCTGTGCTGGCTGCTGAAGATGAGAGTGGAGCGCTTATGAGAATGTCCCAAGTGATGTGATCTCAGTTCTTAGCTCTACACACAACTTGACTATTCTTCATCCTAAATTCAGAGCTGTTCAATACACTGTTTATTTTTCTCCAAATCTGCTAGATTCCACTTGAGTTTTGCTAAGTACCAATGACTCGTAGCTGTGTTTTACACTTTATAAAAATATTTGTTTTTATCTACAAGTTATTTCTTTGTTCTTTGTTGTTCTCTTCCACTGCTGGGTTTTGTGATAATAAAGCCAGACTACTTCTTCTTAGAGTACATGCCGTGGGGCTTTACTAGTCATGTCTATCCACAGCCTTCTGTCTCATGTACTTTCAATCAACTCTAACACTGATAATCCTCCATGTCATGATGTCCAAACTGTCCAGCATCTTTTCTCCAGGCAGCCTTCTATATTTTGAACAAATGAAAAAAAAACTAAAAACAAACAATCTCCCTAACTGACCAATCAAGGCTGCTGCAGATCAAACAGGGCCTGAACTCTAATATTATACAATAACCAATCTCTCACTTTATAATCTGTTTCAATGATCACAACTGGCAACTGTCTTTCAGAACCAGCGGTTATATCCATACAGAAATGCCACAATTGCCGGTACCTTCCACTTCGGTGGAGGGTTTAAGGTCACAAGGCTAGTACTGTTGCCACAGACAGCAAAGGTTAGTATTTTATTTTCTCCGTCTGAAAGAAAAAACCCAGAGCCTTATTGAAGATTTGGATGCAGGTCTCCTGCATGAGATCCTAGCATTCTAAGCATTCAACCAGCAGTGCCTCTATATCCATATAAATAGAAAAAATATTTAAACATAAAAATATCAAAATTGTCCATGTTAATTACCCGGTGCTGTAGATCAGACTGTGACATGCTTTCTACATCCCTCATAAGAAACTGATAGAACTGCATGGCAGCCATCTTGCTGATACTGAAGTATCTTGAGAAACAAAGGAAACGATTAGTCAACTTACATGAATCTACATTTAATGGTGAGTGGTCAAGAGGTTTAGATACTGGTCTCACATTTCTAAGATGAATCTGGCACCTTTTTGAGTCAACAGTAGATACCACACCTTAAACTACACCACCATCATCATGTGTCCTAATGATAAGCATAGTCAGTTACGTTTCGTCATCTCTTACGATCACCAGAATCACTGATCAGGTCACAGCTCATGTCTCACCCTGTAGTGTTGCTATAAATGGATATAAGGTAAGGGGTTTGACAGGTTTGGGGAAGTCCCTGGATTGAGAGACATGAAGTTGACATAAGAATGGCAAGACTCAAGATTGAGTGAGTTCACCTGGGAACATGAGGCCTGGGGGGAATAGCTAACTGGGAAGTCATTTTATGACAGGACCCCAGAGAGATAGTGAAAGTAGATCCAGAGTAAAAACAAAGTGAACGTTGATCCTGAATGGCAAGGAGTGAAAGCTGTGAAGTGGTTGTAGTAAAGCAACGTTTAAGTATAGCTGAGGACAATGGAAGTGTCCTACTGACTGCTCCTTGTGCAAACCATATGTATGTCAGCATCGACCGTGGAGTGGCTGTATACTCAAAGTGCTAGAAAGTGAATGCTGCCTGGAAGGCATAAGTGTTAGGCTGTAACGATGATACTTGTCGCTTATACGATATTTGAATAAACATGGACCTATAGATAACCCTTGTTGATTGTCATTTGGAGATGTGCGGTAGTTTGTCAGAAAATAAGTCTGCCTCGTCTACTCTGTGCACCTGACCCCTAGACAGCAGCCTGTGTCGACTGTGTTCGAGCGAGAGCTAGTACAGGAGAAAGACACATTACACACCCTTTCCTTATAATCAAGCCATCCAGGTATTCATCTCTTTGCCATTTGTCTTCTGCTCGGTGGGTTCAGCTGCAAGCATCATTCTTTGCTTCCTTATTGCAGATGTTTCAGAAATCCTTGAGGAAAGAGGAACAGGTGGGTTGGGGTGGAGTTGTGTGGGGTTGGAGGAGAGGGGGGCCCATTGCTGGAGCTAGAGAGTTCTTGCTTTGTGTGATGTTCTTGTCAAGTGAGAGAGAGACCAAGCCACATGGGATTAAACCTGGGGCAATAAAGTCAATCCTTTTCCATTTTTAATCTATTTCATTCACTGTCCTCTGTGCCATTATATAACACTTAGGGCTTACAGTCTCTTGCTCTATTCCATTCTATTCAGTGCAATCACTTTGATATCACGGACAGAATCCAGTCTAGCATCTTGGGCTTCTTTTATCAATGTTCACCTTAGGGTGGGGGGTTCTCTTGGATGTCCTTGTCTCCTCAGTCCCTCTATTTCCCATTTAAGTGCCTGTTTGGTGATTGTTCGTCTCTTCTCATAATGTGTCCACTACAGCATCATCTTCTCTATCTTATAACTGTTGATTATAATGGTTACCCAGATAGTTCTCTTATTTCTTCACTCCTGTTGAAAATGAAATGGTTACGTTATAGCAGACACTGCCATAGAACTGTCATGCATTAAGGATATGTCATATACCAGATCATGACATTACTGTGGTGGGTTGGGAACTCCCTTTGCTAGCTGATTGATCATTACAGCAAAATACAAACTGAAATGCATAAAAATTAGCCTCTGAACTGGGCAAGTAATAGTCAAATGCCAGAAAAGGGAGTGAGTAAACCAGTGAGGAGGCACAAACAGATCATGATGGTCTGAATGGTATAGCAAGAAGTGACCAGGAGATCTGGCCGATGCTCAAACTCAGGAAAGTGGTAAGATGGACATGCAAACAGACTATTAATGGGTCCCACCAGAACTGTAACCCTGTGCCTGCTCCTGATGATAGGGAGAGAGCGCTTAAAGGAATGCATAATGAAATAATAACAATGTCAGCATGACTCACTTTTCAAACACACTTTCAAAATTAGTTTTGTAGTCGGTTACATCTTCACGTATGTCTTGGATGAGGATATTCAGCTGCAAGACATCAGTAAAATGTTACCACTGTAGCAAACACAACAGTTTCTTTATTCTTTGAGTCCCAAGGAACGCATCATGCGTTCATGGCTTCCTACCTATATGTCAGACTATTATGTCAACTGCATTATGCCATTATATGTCGATTTATTATGACTTTATTGTCTACTGTCCTATTATGCTGTGATGCTAAACCCCCTGGGACTCAATGTCAACTGAGTTTATGCCAGGAACTGCAATTGTCTTATTATGCCATTATATGTCAACTGTCCTATTATGCCATTATATGTCACAGAGGGTTCACAGCCTATTTCTCCATTCAGTTCTAGCCTATGCAATCAACTGGCTATATCAGACAAAATCCAGTCCAGCACCTTTGGCTTTAACCTCTGCTGCCACCACATGTAACTGACATGTCCCTTCTCAGACACACAGTTCTCTCAACTGTAGCACAAAGCTGGGGCAGTATTGTAGAGACCATGTGTTAGATAAGGAATGATTAAAGACAGCCTGGGGTTGACTCGGCGGTGAGCTGGTTTTCTTGTTTTTAAACTGACCGTGGTTCCCAAGTCAACCCAGCTTTAACTGTTATGGAATGTATTTCAGCGTCTGCCCATACACTGATAAGCACCTCACTGGATGTTGTCCGGTTTCTTGCCCTCACATACAGACTTCCAAGGACCGTACTCTGAGAGGTCAGAGCAATAATATTAGCCCTATCTGGATCAAACTGACCCATTTGCATACGATTAAACACCTTGCCACACGCGTTTAAGTGTGTTTAGGTGAGGTCTGCGTGATCCTGTTGCTTTTTTAACCATAGAAGCGTGGTCAGTGAAATGTGTATGGTTTGCCCTTAAATATTTTTCTGGGTTTATATTTACATTTCATTTATACAAAATTGGCAAGAAAACTTGAATTTATTGTTATTGTAAATTTTCGCTTTCAGTTTTTTGCCACAATTTCCGCAACGGATGACTTAAGTACTCATTTTTTTTTTTTTAAATATTAACATGGTGACTACAATTAATTATAATTAAAGTGGGTGCCATGACAGTTTCATCAATCAAATTTTGGGGTCGGTAGTGGCTAGACATTTGCTAGCGGACCTGAGGGTAGTGGGTTCAGGTCCTCACGGACTTAAAAAAAAAATAGCCTCTGGCTCCCAGTTTGACACAGCTTTAAATGTGTACCAAGAAAAGTCCTAGAAGTAAAGGCGGCTGGCATGATGTTGACTACACCCACCAAGTGCTGACTGGTCTATAAAATATAGGTCTAGCCTCATATGCCCAACACGCCTAAGGGCGCGGAAAAGGGTCCTTCACTTTGACCGGTATAATAGACAACAAAATTAGACAACAAAAAAAGTATTCAATGAAAGTATTCCATCTGAGGAATGGCAAGCCATGTGGTTAAGAATCCCAACTCTCATTCAGGAGACTCTGATTTGAAACCTTGGTAAAGGGATGGATTTTTCCTGTCTGAAGCAGAAATCAAATTGTTATCTGGGAATTTTGAGGCTACTGTATGGCCATGCGACCCTAAATGGCTGTAAACTCCAGTGGAAATTTCTGGTTGCTCGTCCACCTCTGGACTTTAGTCTCGTTCCAGAACCTAAATCTTGCATGCACATCAATTTGACAGATCTGGCATATTTGTATGCAGGCTGTTGGTTCCTTTACCTCTCAGGCAGATGCAGTCTGATTTCGAAGGAAGCTCCCAGTTAGTTGACTCCTGAGACATGCTTATTTGGGGAGGCAGGCAGTGGGTCTATATTTGTTTTCCCCATAATGGGGTCACAAAAGGTACTTGGAGAAATCCTACAATGGCCTAAAAATGGTAAATACACAAAGAAAAATAGTTCAGACAGAACTGCATTTATTTTATACTTGATGAACAAACAAATAATTTTGAAATCAAAATGGAACTCACCAGGCGAGGATCAAGATCACCTTCTCTACGTCGATTCAAATCTTCTCGTGCGAACTGATTTAAACATCTCATAAGCGGGCTTGAATACACTCTGAAAATTAGACATATATTATTTACGAGTAAAACACAAATTTACTACATGAAAACTATGATTAGGAAGTGAAAGAGTTGGGGAAGGAGGGGAGGGAAGGGAGGAGTTATTAAAAGAAACAAGACATAGAGTAATAATAGGGCATTTCCACTGAAGCCTTTGTCAAAGAGAGACTCAACAAAAAAGTATGAGAAATCCCAGGCACAGCACCTAACTTGGGTGTCATAGTTTTCGTGAAGTAAATTCATGTATTTTAGCTTGACTGTAGTCACTTTCTAATTTCATTTCTCTTCTTATATAGTCCTGTCTCAGAAATTCATGTATTTTAGCTTGACTGTAGTCACTTTCTAATTTCATTTCTCTTCTTATATAGTCCTGTCTCAGAAATTCATGTATTTTAGCTTGACTGTAGTCACTTTCTAATTTCATTTCTCTTCTTATATAGTCCTGTCTCAGAAATTCATGTATTTTAGCTTGACTGTAGTCACTTTCTAATTTCATTTCTGAATAGTCCTGTCTCAGAAATTCATGTATTTTAGCTTGACTGTAGTCACTTTCTAATTTCATTTCTCTTCTTATATAGTCCTGTCTCAGAAAATGAAACATGTTGGCCATATCAAGCACCACAGCGGACTACATAAAATAATAGCAAAAAGCATGGTACCAGTAAAGAGGGGTAGAGGCCCACCAGAATGAAGATGGGAACAGGATATAAGAAACACCTTGGGTAGTAAAATGCACAAGGCAGGGCAGCTGTTGAGACCAAGTTTTTTTTAAACAGACTGTGATAAGACCCACATTCTGCAAACGACCTGCTACATGATGATGAATCTTAAGGACAGTAAACAAAACAAATTATTTAGCAACAACTGCATAATCACAATCTAAAGAGACAACTAACCTACTTTCTTTCCATGCTACAAAACATACTGGATATATGGTAAGTAAACAGACAAAATTGGACACTGACTGAAAAAAATATTTATTTTATACATCTAAGGGTTGAAAAATATATGGTTCTCTAAAATGTATAGACATGCTAAATACCCTTTAGGAGTTCACAAAATGACTCTGAAACCATTAAGTGTAGGTTGTAACGGACATTGCTCTACAATATTCCTAACAAAAAAGCTTTCCATAAGTTTTTTTTTTTTTTAACATGTTTATTTTATTATACTGATGTGAATGCAAGGAAAACTGCCACATCAGTTTTCCGAGAATAAACAAACAAAAACACCAAAAAACGAATCAGTCATAAAACCAGACTTCCAGTAGGGTGACAGTATTTTTAAACCCTCCCCTACCCCCTCCCAAACCAAACAAAAACACACCAAAAAACGAATCAGTCATAAAACCAGACTTCCAGTAGGGTGACAGTATTTTTAACCCTCCCCTACCCCTCCCAAACCAAAACAAAAAAAAAAAAAAAAAAAACAAATCAACTATCCAAATTGAGAAAAGATATAAAACCGAACGAAAAGTATATTAGCAAACTTCACAATATAACAAACACAAACAAAAAGTGAACATTGTGGCTATTGAGCCTTCATCAGCACATACATATTAAACAATACTATACAGATACACAAAATCACTTAGCTGGTATCTCGAAGCAGCCGGGTCGGTTGTTTCTCATTAATACAAACTCACTGAGATGAACACTCAGTTAACATCCAAGTTGAGAAGTAATGAATGAGGTAGCACTCACCTGAACAGTGGCCTTAACACAGTTTTCAAACGTCTCCTGCGGGGCATTCCCAGGGGCCAGGTAATTCATTAGTCCCAGAACAGATTTGAGAAGCACCAGCAATAGTTCTATTGAGAAAAACACATAAGACTATTATGGGATGCAACTTACGTAACAAATGTACCACATATAATGCTGAGACAGTGCCATGGAAAGTACTGCTAGATGGGTGTAAAATGTTTACACTTCCCATATCATTATAGGTTACAAAATTAACTGACTTGACCAGTTCCTATCTTTGCTGCCTTCCTTCCAAAAAACTTCCAGAATTGTCTAAATATTCTCTAGTATCTATTTTAGGACAGTGAGTCGATCTTAGAGCCAGAGTGATTTAAAAAAAAAACACATGCCAATGCTGTGGATGGAACTTAGACAACAGTCTTTGTAAGCAAGTGCACTAACCTTTGTACTGCAACTAACCCTGTCTCATTCTGTAAAACTGCAAAATCCATCCAGTCATGAACAAATCTACAAAGTAGGTTACATGTGTTGTTTGAGGGCCTATACTCCACTGGGAGATGAAAGACAGAAGCTGATTAACTCTTTCAGTCTCAAGCAATGCCTGGTGTGTAAATGACTATACACTTTCGCTCTATAGCACGATGCAGTCTATATTTTTATATTTGGTCAGAACATACTAAAGAAATCTGGTTTCCCCAAATGGTTATTACCGCTGTGTATACTGCCATGCTGAATGTAATTATTTCATAGTTGTCCACCAGGGTTTTTCTACACTTCACATATCTCCCATTAAACCTTAAGGAACCGATAAGGTTTATCCTGTCATTGCACTGGCATCAATACAGATGACTCAAACGCAGTATAAGGAGAGTAAAGCATCGTTTTCCACACCTTGAGGCTTACTGAGTGTATACTGCTAGTCTAATATTTAAATGTTGCAGTTAAAACTCGTTAACACAAACTTATTAAGATGAACACTCAGTTAACATGAAAAACATTTTGGTCCTAGCAGGAATGCACATATGCTAATTATAAATATTAGTCCCTTCTTTACATGTGTTTTTGCTAACACAAACTCTTGATTTCGGGGTCTCTTGGAATTCATGTTAACAAGGTTTTAATGTATACTAAGAGAGGATGGATCAGGATCGAATTGAGTGGCCACAGTTTGTCTCTGCTTTATCTGCCTCTGGACGCGATGAGGACTGACTAATTAAATGTACAAAAATATTAATTTTCTAAACAATTAAACAGGTAAAGACATCCACTTATTCAACTATTTTCAATGAAAGTCATCCACTTATTCAAATTAAAATACCTTTTTTTTTAACTTTTCCTTTTAATGAAAGTCTGATGCTGCTTCGTTTACATTGTTTTAAAATTAAAATACCTTCTAAAGCCTCCCCCCAAGAGCTGAATTTTTTTTTGGCTAGTAAAGACAATGTTCCTTTTGATACAGTTTGCCAAAGAGGAAGAGGAAGGCCAAGGAGAAGATTTGTGGCAGATGATCTCCATCATCGCAGTTCTTGCTCATGAATTTTCCGGAGGGTTTTACAGCGAGGTGCGAGTGCTACAATGGCAAATAAGCTCAATACAATCAGCAAATAAGCTGAGGCCATTCTACAGACTTTTTATTTATACGCAATGTCTCCTCCCTATGTTCTAGATGGAATAATGGAAAACCATCTAGGCATAGGATATACCGTTTGCAAACATTTAATGTTTAGTTAAAACATTTGGCAATGTAACTTCTATTAACTCTTTGAGGCCCAAACAACGGTGTGAGCGTTGTTTGAGAGGGTTCTGTTTTGCCCAAACAACGGAGTTATTGTCAATTGTGTGTCCCTTACATTTTGCTTCGCACGCGGCTTTGTACTAGTTTCTAATGTTTGGAGGTACGATTAAAATATTCAGGGAAAGTCACTCTGCCAAAATCCTTTTAGTTTCATTTCCTGGACTAAACCATACGTGGATAATTTGAGAGAATACACAGCGAAAAATTTTTTTAGCAGTTCATTTTCTAAGTTCGTTTTTGACTGCCATGAATACCAATGTTCCAACTGAAAGTACAGGTCGCAGTATGCGTCTTTCTGCGGCCGAAACTCTGAAATTGTTTCAGTCAGATGTTCTTAATTGTGATAATGATAATAAAAATTTAGATATTTTGGAAAGTGATTCGGACAGTGAATTTTCACCAGTGAAGTTGAGCGATCAGCTGTTCGGAATCTAGTGATTTTGATGATTTTATTACACAAACAATGTCCCATACTACCGTATTTATGGTGTAAGAGAAGGAAAGTGCTCTAAACAAAGAGACAGTACTATACTATGGCTAAGCTACACTAAAATCATCGCAGCTACACTCTGTAAATAACTGTAAAAAGTAAATAGTAAATAGTGTGTGTGTCATGGCTTATTTTTCTGCCATTTTTTCTCTGAAATTTTGCTCAGCACTCTGTGAGAACTAAGAGCTTCTGAGTGCTAAACTTACCCAGAAAGTTATTATAAATTTGCAATATGTTAGGAAATTGAACAAACTTTGAAGTTTTGTTCTCAAATTTGGATATTTACTACTCTTGTGGCTGCAAAACCATGGTAAGTGAAGAATTTTTTTTGTTAAATGTTGTCCTTGTGAAATTAACACCTGCTGAATTCTTCTTTTCCACTAACTATAACACAATTAAACAAACACTTATCAACAGATTCAAAATGTACATTCATTTCTCTTTTAAAAAATATAGACTTGTATAGGGATTAGAAGTATATTACAATCTCTATAGCCTTTCTTGTGCACCCACCCCTCTGCCATTTTTGTAAAGGGAAATTAATTTGGGCCAAGTCTGTCAAAATTCATGGGCTTGAAAGAGTTGAAGAAATGAACTTTAAATTAATCCATGAAATGTAAGTTAATCCTAACAATCTCACAAGCAATCCTAAGTGGCTGATATTGATTGTACTACCTTCTCTCTGGTGGGCAGCAAAGAAATAGTAAACTGTTGTTGGCACTTTTCCCTCTTTTCAGATGATGGTGTTATATTGTGCCAATTAAGGCCAGGGATGAAGTTCCTCCTTACCACAGAGCAAAGCCTGGGCAGTGCTGCAGACACAGATGTTGCCCAAACATCACAATCTCCCTCTTCAAAGGAAAGGCAACATCAATACATTTGAACAAAGCATGCTGCAGAAGAGCAGTGCTCTGTCCACCTGTCACAGCTTCCCTAACTCTTTTGGTTCCAGGGGGGTTTAGTATCAGAGGTCCAAGGGGTGGTAAAGAGAGAAGTAAATCTGCACATCTTGCGTTCATTGGGCTTCTAGGTAGTAAATTTGAATGCATGATGCGTTCCTTGGGAGTGAAAGAGTTAATAGACCAAACAAGGGGTTTGGTCTGCCTTGCTAACATTGTTTTCAGGTTGCAAACCTCTTTCTAAGACTACTATCCTCCTCAACGCACTTGTCCACTTGAAGCCAGTGGCATAATAGGGAATGCAAGGTTTGATATACACCGCCTAACATTTTGGCACAACATTCCAAACAGAACAGCTAGTATATACTCTTATAGTGTAGCTCAGTGCTATCTGACCAGGACCTGACAATGATAAACTAACTATACTACACATAAATTAGTACATAAAGTATACTAAACCCATCTACTTATTAACTCGTTGAGTCCCAGGGGGTTTAGCATCACAGGCCCAGAGGGTAGTAAAGAGAGACATAAAATCGGCGCATCATGCGTTCATTGGGCTTCTAGGTAGGAACCTATGAACGTATGATGCGTTCCTTGGGACTGAAAGAGTTAAGTCAAATTGGAATAGGACCCGAGGCTTGTATTTTCAATGAGCAAACAGCAGCTGAGAAGTGAGAGAGTCAGCTATATGCTTGCTGTTTATTTTTTCCTAGGTAAATCAAAGGGACCCATTTCACAAGCAATTTCAATCTCAACCTACCTACTCCATCTGCTGGCTTGTTGCCAGGGAACAGGCGTTTCATCTGACTCAAAGCTTTACATGCTTGAACTTTGAGGACCATCAGTGAAGAGTACAGGATGTCAAACTATGCAAGATGAAGGAAAAACAATTAAAATAAACAAACTGTACTGTTGAAAAATTTCCAATAGCACCTTCCTTTAAAAAAAAAAAAAAAAACACAGTGATCTGATTGTGTGTTTTTAATAGTTCAAAGGAAACCTGTATGCCTAATGACTACTAATGTCACAGATGTAAAAGAACTGTCTACCGATTGGTTGAATGTTGAGGTTTTCTTGAATGCAATTTGAACAATTTCACTGATTAAATTACCAATATTTTGAATGTTGAAATTATAAAAAAAAAATGCATGAACTATGCATTTGTTTTTTAAAGTAGTAAAGTACAGTAGGATAATTATGGGTTTCTTTATTTTTGGACAACATATAAGTTTGTAATTTTTAAAATGTGAAACAGGCTATTAAATGTATGGGCAGGACATCTGAAGTATATATATATATATATATATATATATATATATATATATATATATATATATATATATATATATTATATATAATAAGCGTGTGTGATCATGGGCATTATCTTGTTTTAAGTCATGTTGACTCATGCTGTCTTCTGAACACCCAGAGCTTTTAGATTATTAACTTACATAAGTACTGTAGGTAGTGAGTTCATTGTTGTAACACCAAACAGTATAAACGATGCAATTTATAATAAGATGACAAAATGAACAATCTTTCTCCTTTGCATCACAGCTTAAGTGATCACAAATGAGCGCTGTCACTACTCTCCCACTATTTATTTACTTAAATACATTATCACACCTTTATAAACACAAGTAAAACAATTATATATATTTACTAAATAGTATTACCATTACTGACTGGATTACCACATACATGACATTAGCTATATATTATCTGTTAGGACCCAACACATTATCTGACAGCACCCCTCAAAAGTTAGGACCCAACCCATTATCTGACAGCACCTCTCAAAAGTTAGGACCCAATCCATTATCTGACAGCACCTCTCAAAAGTTAGGACTCAATCCATTATCTGACAGCACCCCTCAAAAGTTAGGACCCAATCCATTATCTGACAGCACCCCTCAAAAGTTAGGACCCAATCCATTATCTGACAGCACTTCTCAATGTTTTCATTCCAAATGACAATCAAGTAATCATGGAGAACAGATCCACTGCCCACTTAACAAGCATGTTGAAAAAGCTGATTAATTAAAGATTTGCTGAAATCTAATGTGTTGGGCCAAAAAACCATGTGGTCATTGCCCTGCATCAAACACTAAAATTAGGAGACAGATATCTCATAAACAATCATGTGTGCATCATTGCTAGTGCTATATAATTCAAGCACTGAGCTGAGATTCTCCTATATTATCTGAAGGAGTAAAGTTCAATAAAAAAAGATTTGTTTCTTCTACTTCTGCATTCACCCTTAAAAGGACTGTTGGCACACAGTGTTGTAGTTTACAGCTAGGATGCAATATATGCATCTTTCAGCCCAACACATCAGATTTTTAGCAAACCTAAATTAGCTGCCATTCACGACATGCTTGTAAAGGAAGCAGTGGGTCATTTTTTTTTCCACTTGAATCTACAAGAAGAACTGAAATATAATGTCAGATAATAAAGATCAGACTTGTAATTAATTTAAAAAAATCATTTCAGTTTCATAAAAAGTATTAAAAAACATGCAAATAAGCAGCTAATCAAAATGAAATTTAAAAAGTTGAAAATAAAAATAAAATCAACCCTGTAGTATTTAATGTGCCCTACTTACCTCCTGTTTCACCATGACGATAGCTGATTTGTTGTTTGGCAACATCTGCTGAATGGTTACCACCAAATTGTTGATAAACAAGAGGTAGCCAACAGTTGGAGAAAACTCACATACCAAACACTGCAGCAGAAGCACCTTGCGAAACAGTTCACCCTGACAGAGAAGAAAACAATGTGAAAATGAGTAAGCCAGTTATGCCATGCATTTTTTTACCTTAATCTAATCTGCCAATTTCTGCGGACCAGTTTCAAAAAGAATCCTTACTCATAAAAGTTAATAATGGGAAGACTGCAATTATCATGCCTAATCTGAAACAAACAAGGATATAATAAATCTCCTTAGATTGTTCTACAATATATGCCTAGAAACTCACTGTAGTAGATGCTCACCTTTCACTCGGAGGGTCTTTGGTTTGAATCCACATCAAGATAATATTATAAATGACATTGGCTCCCAGCCTAAAATGGGTAACAGGTAAATTCCTGGGAAGTAAAGGCAGATGACATGATGTTGACCCACTGGTCTATAGAAATATGAGCTAAGAATCACATGACCAATGTCCACACCCTCTGCCTACTCCTTGATGAATCAATATCCTGAGGTATGGATGCTCCGTCTGTTGTCTGGACTTGGCCGCTCAGCCCCAGAGAGCTATCACCACATCCCCTATGATAAAGTAGCTCCCCACCCAGAGTAGTGACAGCAGTCAATCTATCAGTCTGATTATTGCCCTGCACACCAGAATAACCTGCCCAGAAAATCAATGATATGCTCCTAATGTGAGCCAGATCAATTAAAGAGGGAATACTGAAACAACACCAATTAGAGGAGGAGTGCATTCTATTCTCATCATGGGTTTAAAACCTGCTTCAGTGGCTTCTGGTCTCCCTTGTTTGTTGTAGTAGCTAGTCAGAAATGGACTTCTGGTACAACTTATCATTCTCACCCCATCTCGTTCAGCTGTACGATTTCATACTGGTTCCCACTGACTGTCCTATGTTCTAGGGGTGTCACATGTGCTTGTTTTGAAAATTTTAAGCACATTTACCACTGAAAACAGCCACCACCAAGTGTAAAAATACAAAAACATAAATGATTCGACACTCACAAACTGTCCCGCCTTTGGCACTTCTCCATGCACGGCTTCTTCCTTGCACACAGGCACATGCAGCACCTGAGCTACTGGCAACAACAACACATTCCAGAAACAACAGTCGCTGACACAAAAGAAGGTTGCGAAAAAAGGCTGCACAGTTTTGTCTGGGTCACAATGTGTCGACCCTGTTGAACGAACTCAAGACAGTTCTCGGCACACTATGCATAGTCTTTAAAGGAAGGCACCTCATAACACTCCTACAACATAGGACTACCCATTGGAACAAATACGAAATCTGGCAGCTGAACGAGATGGGGTGAGAATCATGAGTTGTACCGAACTTCCTACTGCATGATATAAACTAGCCTTAGTGGTGTTACATTCTTCTTCTTCTTCTTTGCGTTCACCAGCTGTACACTCTGGCGAAAAGTTCTGGTTGTTCGTCCACTTTGGAACTGCAGTCCTGCTCCAGAACCTGAGTGTTGCATGTGCATCAGTTTTACAGATCTGATTCACTCGAATGCAGACTGTTGGTTCCTTGCCTCTCAGGCAGATGCACTCCGACTTCAAAGGAAGCTCCCCAGTTAGTCGACTCTTACGACAGCTTTTGGGGAGGCAGTGGGTCTATTCTTGTTTTCCCCACAGTAGAGCCCCGGAACCCACACGGGGGTGGTGTTACATTAAAACAAATCTGTTTGCCCCATTCACTTGGTATATTAACCTATCCATTCTTTATTATCGTTCTAATCTTGTTACAGACATAGGACCCACTGACCTATTATTCTGAGGCTTTTGATTCAACCGTTTCTGCCTTAGATGGTTTTTTACTGAACTTCAATCAGACCCATACAATTAACTCATAAAATTATAAAAACAGATAATATAAAGATGAATTAAAAAAAAAAAAAGAACTATACTTACAATGCCATATCGCAAGCCAAACTCCAGCAGCAGTCGACATGAAGCAGAGGACAGGGGTTGAAATGTCATACCAGTTGACAGAGCATCAGAACCTTGCCGGAATTGGCTCTCATACCTACATTTAAAAAAACAAAAGTGTCAGTATTTGTCAACAGACAGTCAATGCCTTTCATTTTATCTCATCATCATCCTCATGTGCCATGTAGGTAAGCACAGGCTGTAATGTTTCATCAACTCACATGATTACCAGAACCAGGGATCAGGGCAATCTTTTTGTCTTACCCCCATCCATGTGGGCAAGCCATCCAGGTATTTATCTCTTTGCCTTTCCTTGCTCTCTTTCTGTTAATCTTGCCAGCTGTCACCAAGTTCTCGAATTCATACTTTTTAATGTGTTCTCAGTTGTGCTATCTCCAAAATAGGAGGTGGGTCACAAAATCCCTAACCCTAGAATATATAAAGGATTAAGAAATGTATTTAGTAATCTCTAAGCCAAAAGCCACACTTTTTACAATGACACATTCTCCTTCTCCTATGTGGTATAAACCATCACTATTTATACCCCCCCCCCCCCCCCCCCCCCCGATTGCTGCTGACATCACCAGGTCGGGCTAACTATGCATTAACGCAGTGGTTCTATTACAAGAAATAAACTATTTTTGACAATGGCAAGGGAAGAAATTAAATTTTAACTTTTAGGTGTCTACATGCCTTCTTTAATAATTTCACAATTTTAGCCGACTTCTTGATTTTTGCCACAGCACCCCTGGCATACGCTCACAGCACCCAAGAGTGCCTCAGCACCCAGTTTGAGAACTGCTGCTTAAACGCATCAGCTGGAGCCGGTCCTGATCAGCCTAACCTAAAAATAAATGTATAGGAAGTGAAGGCAAGATATTGACAACATCACCCATTAGATGTCCTCTGGTCTATAAAATATGGTGCTACAGCATAAGCAGAATATAATTCAAGGTATGGAACAGATCCTTTACTTGGTTACTTACATAGGCAATGAAATCATGTTAAATTTAAAGAAATTTTTCCTCACTGTAAATCTGAACAAAGAAGACACAAATAATAGATTGCACAATTTATTGCCTGACATATTTCACTCAATCTCATCAGCTGCATATTTCAGTAACAATTGATTAAAGCGAAGCACATACAAAAGTTAACTGACACATAAAATCAACTTCTGTATACCTCAGCTAACTACAGACTACTGAGATATATGGAAGCAATGACGATGAATCAGTTTAGTCCAGAATTAACAATGGGAATCAGATGTCTGAGAATGGCTGCAGGAGTGACCAGAAGAGATAAAATCAGGAATGAGGTCATAAGAGAAAAAAGTCAGCAAAGAACCAATTCTAAATTACATACAAAAACAGCAAATCAAATGCCAACATGGAAAGAATGCATTATGTAGCCATACCATACAAAGCATACACCAAAAGTGGTAAAGCAAGAAAACGATGAGGCTATGGTTGAGGCAGCCAGAACAGCAAGAAGCAGAATCTTATATTTCCCTTGACAACTTAAGCAATAAAAGAGGAAGTGAAAAAGAAGAAGTGAAAAAAGAAGAAGTCCAGAATTATGCAGACGAAAGGACATGGTTGTCAACTTACGTTCGCCTTGATGAAATGGACTTACTTTTGAATGCAGTTGATTTTGCTTTTCAATTAAGATTACTTTAACTGCTCCATCAGTTGAATCAGTTGTTACTGTAGCATGCACCTAAAGTGATACAGCTAAATATAACAGGCAATAATTTTTGCAATGTATTGTTTGTGTCTTCATTGTTCATGTTAAATTTGACAACTTACGCCAATAACTTTTTCAGAAGAATATGGTAGTCCTCATGTACACTATGCAATTCAGCAATAAGATCTTGGTTATCTCGTGGGAATGGAAGAGCTGAATTCCAGAATTTATCCAGCAGCTCAGAAATATGTTTTCTCTCTTGTTTCTGCCACAGGTCATATCCATTTTGAGTCTGAAAAATCAACAATGTTCCATTTACCTCAAAAATATTTTAAATCTAAATAAACAAGTTACAGTTTAGTGATTCTTCAAGGGTGTCAAGACCAGTTAAGAGGAAAGAGCCCGCTTCTTCAATAGAACGTCATCTACTTAATTCTGGACACATAACTGACACATACAGTGCTTTCCGTGTGGTTTACCACACTCCGAACAAGAGAATGTTGAGAATCGCAGAAACTATAACAATAAAAATCAACAACCCCCTTCTCTGAAAGCAGACGGATTTTATTGTAAATTTGAAGTTACCCTGGTAAGTCACGTGACTACGGTGAGCTTCCAGCAGCCAAATAACACACATGATGTGTCAGAAGAAACTATTCGCATTTCAGTTGGATTGATTCAGTTTTGTGCTTCATTTTAGGTTGATATAACTCTGAAGTAATGCACCTGACGAGATACCGCAAAATATGTCTGGCAATAAATTGTGCAATGTATTGTTTGTGTCCGCATTATTTAAACAAGTTACGTTTTCCAATTATGAAAACTTCAATGGAAAGTAAAGTGGAATGCTAGGACACGACTAGAAGTTTATCTACCAGCCCAAAGATCTTCAGTCTAGATCCACACCAGGCGGATTTCATAACTGACAGCTTCCAGTTTTCCCCAGCCTAAAATGAGCACCAGGAAATGTCCTTGAAAATAAAGGTTCCAGCATAATGTTAATCACATAACCCACAGAGTTTTGATTGGTCTAGCTTTATATTCCCCACATAGGAGTGGCATTTTTTTCTCATTCAAAGTAATATGTAAACATACCAAGACAAGACAATGCAATACAATTGGGAACATAACAGTGAGGAGTCAAACAAGGAGGATGTCCTTTCTTAGCAGAATGTATTTTATAGGCTTACAATCTCAGGTTTGACAATGGAGATGGCTGTGACTTTGACGCAGAATACAGACACTCAAGTCACCATTTATGGTAATGCTACACATGGCAGATTCGCTATTCAGGATAGGAGAGTGTCATTACTGAGCTCAAGGGAGCCTATCTTCTACAGTCTAAAGTATGAGTCACTTGAGCAATCAGTATGTGTTTCTTAGTGTCTACATTTCAGTCAATACTGTGCAAAACTGACCTTCTTTACTATTATAGAAACTACAGCAGAAGGGATAATGGATGGCAAACACACAGGATGAAGGCAAAGCTACGAGCTCGATTTTAACACAGAGATTTGCAGGACAAAAGTTGTCTCAATGCACCATTATAAGAGACACATATTACTTGAGATCACTGTTTTGATCTTCCAATGCTTAGATGACAAGTAACCTTGTCTATCACAATTAAAAGTTAGATTCAGAAATTTCAAATCAATAAAGATTCAATAATCCTTTATTATTATGTCTGTATATTATTTCCTCAAATAGCAAATCTAATACCAAGAACTGCTTTACAGTCTAAAAAATAAAAAAAGGTAAACTTACAATAAAATGCTTTGGGGAATAGAATGGATGGCTGTTGGTTTCCAAAACTGCCAGCTGACCAGATAACTCTTCTGCTAAAAGCTGACAAATATTGAAAAAGATACAATAAGTAGACTTTTACTGAATACAATTGTTAACATAGCTATACACAAATTAATGTAAGCTAGTTATAAAGCTTAATGTCCTTATATACAGAATAACTACAATATCTCCAAGCAAAGTGTCAACTGGTAATCGGAAACCTTTACCTCCATTAACCCTATTACTCCAAAAAGACTAAATCTAGTCACATCTGACTTCTCTAGGCAATTGTTATCTAGGTTAGCCTTCCTAGGTTTTACGAAACAACAACTTTCACTTAAGAATTCAAAATAATTGTTTGTAACAAATCTCGAACAAGCAGAACATTCAACAAAAATTATTCATCATGAAGAAACTGTATCAGTTAAACAACATAGTAACAAGAGATTACAAATGTTGAACTGCACCATGAAACAATCCAAATATACTGTTACAAAAATAGAAGTGTTTTAAAGAAGACTAGAAGTGGCAGGATTTTTTTTTTAAATCTACGGATGTGGGTTTTATCCATCATCACCATCCTGTTGTGCCATTATATGTCACATACAGCATGCAGTCTCATCATCATCAGGTGCCTTGCTGACTGGCGAGGGCGATCATGCCTCTCCAGTATTCTAAGAATTCTTCTGTAAAACCACATCTCTGAGACCTCTAGAAGTTGTTTGGTCTGCTTACCGACTGTCCAGGACTTACAGCCATATGTTAAAACTGGATGTATGTAGCAAGCAAAAATTCTTTTTCTAACTCTCAATGACAAGGATATATTGCATCACAAGATGTTTTTCATTTTATAAAATGCAGTTTTTGCTTATCCTATTCTGTTTCTTATCTCAGTTATGCATCTTCCATCTGATGTTATCCATGTGCCCAGATACTTAAATTTCTGTACTTGTCCTAAAATAACACAATCAACTTTTATTACACACTTAGGAATAATTGTGTAATAAAAGTTGATGGTGTTATTTTAGGACAAGTACAGAAATTTCATGCAGTCTATTCATCCTTTTTATCCTGTGCAATCAGTTCAATATCATGGATGGAATCCAGTCCAGCAGCTTTGGCTTCTCCCATCAATGTTCGCTTTAGGGTTTCTTTTTTTTGTGTGGGTGTCCTTACTTTCTTAATTCCTTTATTTCCTATTTTAGTGACGGTCTGATGAAGCTCGGCTCGTTTCTTTTCAGGATGTATATTTCCAATAAAGCGCCTTCTTCTTTACCTAATCACTGTTGTTATCAGCGATTGTCCAAACATTTCTTCTAACAATAGGATTGGTTCAGCCTCATAAAAATGGTTATCAGTTTCCAGAATTTTATGGGCATAGTCTGAGAAAAAAAAAAAGATGATAAGAAAGGCCACCTAATATGCAAACAATGTATCTCTGCAGTAACAGCTGCAGGACTACGCTCAGATATTTAAAATACACAGAAAAAAATTTGCTGTGTCATGATGACAAACTATCAAGTTCACATGAACTTACCCAACTGTATAATAATCTGATAAACTCAAGTGGTTTTCAAGCTATCTCGCAAATTCTCTTTCTAAATATGATTAAGAGCTGCTTCTTATCAACGAATGCACCGTACTATCAGCACTGAAAGCCAAATTTAAATGTGTATTTATCATTCATTAGTGTCATCTGACTGTCAGTAATTGCAGTCATTTATTTTCAATGAATATTTCTTTCTAAATCTACAATTACCTTATAAAATGCTTTGATGGCTAGTAATATTAATTGTTAAAATTGAGATTCTATCAATATTGAAGTGCTTTTAATCCAACAAAAAGGACAAGAAAAATGGATCCATTGATTTTGTTTCAAATAATAGTAATTTTATTTATAAAGGTATAAAAATAATGGACCTGTTTAAAATAAAGTTCTGTCCAATCCCTTTTCAGTAATAGTTGGTGGCAAGGCTCATTATTTGAAATAACAATAGTCAAGAATGCTTAGAAAAGAAGCAAAGAAGCGTAGAAAGAGAAGGTTATCTTGTGAAATTCAATACTTTATATTAACTGGCAGGTACTGGTTTCTAAGATGAATTTTGTCAACATCTCCAGATAGCCAGAGTTACTTCTAGCGATTGTCAGGAAGGAGTCAATATATATTCCAACCCAACAGGTGGAATAGACAAAGTGTCCTTATGTTATAATAAAAGAAGAGACACAGAGTAGAACACCGGAAAGATCTGTGGTAGGAGACAGAAACACAAAGTTATGATACTAAAAGGTTTAGGACTGTGGCATGGATGGAAACTATTAATAACAATTAATCCAAATCACCGAAGACTTGGATATTACAGAAGTATGAATACTTATAGCCGCTGCAAAGGCACATGATATGGATGATGATGTATTTACATAAAAATTTAACATTGTGCAGAAACAGTCCCAAAAAATGTCAGTCTAATGCACAAACAAAACATTTTATTATGTAAACATGCAAATTACATAAAAATTAGACACAGATTCGAGTTTCTCTTCTTTGTTAAAAGTTTGCAAAATAGTCAGTTATGTCTAAGATTTCCCAATGAATGTTACAAACTGAGTAAGGATTTAAGATTCTGTTACAAATTACAAATTAACATATAATTATTTTTTAACAGGAAGAAAAAACCTGTTTGCTCTGTGAATACTTTTGTTAATGAGGGTTTGAACCTCAATATTCAGAATTTTTCCAAAGCTGCAATAGTTTGTGTACTTATTTTACACAGACAGTGGCCACGCTCAAACTTCAAAATCTTATTCCGTAGAAGATTAATTTAGGCAGTCACTGGTCTGACATGCGGACTGCATGACTTGCTCTATATAACTGAGAATGTTTCAGAACTGTACAGATGTTTGGAATCATTCAAGCATAAAGTATCAGGGATATTTTCCTTGTCATTTGATGTTTAGCAGCTTCAAACTGCTAAAGCAAACTGTGTCAAAGTGATTAAACCTCTTGGACGTGCTGATATGCAGCAGAAACATAGAGAACAACTAAAACATGCCTGACCAGAATAGAGGGAATTAAATGGTATTATGGAATTACTAATGCTGACCTTTGGGAAAGAAATTAAATAAATTCTAGTGGATCAAGAGGTGAATAAAAAGATGCTGGTGTTGGATAGAAGAGACACTGAGATAATCTGAGAATAACATAACTAGAATATTTTTGCACTGGAGCTCACAGGGGGTTAGAAATAAAAGCAGACAAAAAAAAAAAAAAAACCCCAGAGAAGGGAGAGAGAAAGTGAAAAAAAAAAAGATAGGGAGGACAGGGTGTGAGCTGCATTCAGTAACAAAGGATAGGATGAGGGCAGAGTTGGTGGAGGGCTACGCTCCATTGGTGGATAATGGGCAGAAGAATAAGACACTTTTTTTTATCAAACACTAATAGAATTAACAGACATGCAGCTTGTTGAAACAATGAAACAAAATTTAGCATTCAAGCAAGCTTCAAAATCAAACACTAATGAAGCTTATGAATTATTCCACTGTAAAATAATTATATAAGATTAACAAGGCCTTCTTGGCCCTCTACTGAAAGAAGGTCAACATCTGGGGAAGCCACTTCGAGGTATTTGTGATGGAGAATTAGATTATGTGGCGGTAAAATTTACCTTACTATTTTTCTACATTTTCATTTTCAAAATATCTGATAAGAAACATAGATGACAAAAAAGTGTCATTTGCCTATTCCATGCCCTAAGGCACAATAGGTATAAATTAGTTGCATTTTATTTATAGCAAGGCTATTCAACTAAGTTTACTTAGCGGTCAACATTCTGAAATGAGGATCATGGTGGGCCAGAGGTTCAAGCCCAGCACAGAAAAATTATTAATACAACTGACAATGATCCGTGGGCCATATGTGAAACTTCCGCAGGCCAGATTTGGCCTGCTGGGCCGCCAGGCAAATAGCCATGATATATAGGATGTAGCAAAACAATCACATAAACTGTTGGCTCTCTGCAGTTTTACTCTGCAATTTTAAATTTTAGTAAAATCTTTTTATTTTACATTTGACATTACTTTCTGATATAACAGCAACACAATAACTATTCGCACATCAATATAATTTTCTATGTAATTAAACATAGGCATTATGGTTAACCACCTCACATGATCAGCACAATCATGGAAAAGGTCAGTGTTCTTCCCCTGTCCAAGCCATGTGGCCAGACAATACAGGCATCTCTCTAACTGCCCCTCCCCCACTCTTTTTTTTCTATCAAATTCGCTAGTTGTAAAAAGTGTTCAGGTTTTCTCCCTCTCACAATGTGTTCAAACAGCTGTGACTGTCTACATCTAATTCCTCTATTCAGTGCAATGTTTTCATCTCTACTGAGAAGGACAGCCTAATTAGTTTATCTATCAGCTCAAGATATTTCCATTTTTGTCAGGAATCATATTGCTGCTGCCATTAGTATATAGTATTTCTCCATAATGCCCACATTTGACATGCATGCAGTAATAAAGGTTCTATGTAGCACTTTAAAACTTTTCCTCATGGAATAAATCATGGTTTGTTACACATACATCTATAAAAAAAAAAAAAAGAAGTACTGTTTTTAAGTGTATATAGGCTGCACATATGTATACTCCACACTCAGTTTCCGATATGATAATTTTCGGAGCAAATAATCATTCTCGTCGAAAGACCAAAACCAAAACAGTAGTGCATGTAAGCAGCAAAAGATGGGCTGCGGAAGAGGAAGTTACAGTTGTGAATTTAAGCTGCAAGTAGTGCGTAGTGTGAAGTGAATTTAAAGCCAGTTATCGCTGGGCAAGGCGCTGTACAGCACAAAATGACTTTGTAATTTGGCAGCGGACAACAATGGCGCAGCTACTTCCCAGCACCTACCAAAAAGAAACCGGTTTCAAAGACATGTTTTGAAGTTACAGAAGACACACAACTACAGCATGTGGGTGGTTGGAAATGCACATGAAACTCCTGTTTTTTAATAAACTGTGTACAAGTGACATGTAGGCCTTATATCTCATATATAAGCTGCACCGTATTTTTCAGAAATGATTTCCATCAAAATACTGCAGCTTATACAGGTGTAAAAATGGCAGTTATTTATCTACATAATAGTCGCCTAATAATCACATATATACTTTCTTTCACACAAGTAAATATGCCAAAGGTCACTATTTATCAGAGTAATATGTTATATTCAACAGCAGACACATAATCATTACAGAAAGTCACAGTCAGCAAAAGCAACATTGAAATCTGCATTAAAAAAAAAAAAATTACGCAAAAACTCACCTGCCCATATGGGTGGTCCTAATTGCAAATAAGTAATGGTGTTGTATAACAGATACCATTCTACCTCAGCAATTATTACTAAAAATATCTGCTTTTAAGTATTTGTTCTCCTCCCACAATTTTCAATAGGTTTTCTTTATTATTAATGAAAATATTCATTGTTTTGTTTGTTTATTCTTGCTGGATAAGAAAAATGACAATTACTTAAAGCATCAACAACAGCACACCGGTGAAAGCTAAACAAAAAATAACCATATACAGTATGACTTAAATTGGTTCATTTAGGAGAAGTAAATAAAGTCTGAATTCATTTGAGAAAAGTCAGTAAAGCACTGCAGTAGCTAGTGATTTTTTTTTTCTAGAAAAAAGGGTAGGCATATGAATTTTCCGGGAGAAGAGGCTGACCGAATGGTTAAGAACACTGGGCTTTTATGTGGGAGACCCAGGTTTGAATCCCCAGTAAGGTAGCACATTTTTTGTTGTTGGAGAAAAAAAATTCTAACCTGCACAGTTCATGGCAACAACACTAGCCATACACCCTTAAATCCTCAGGTTCAAATCCTCCCACCCCCTCCTCCCAGCCCATTTCCTTCATTGTAAGAGTCGTAAATACAGGCAATGATAGCAGTTTTTTTTTTTAATATACATTTTTGTTTAAAAATTAAGTTTTTAAAAATTGTTAAGTTAAAGTAAAACTGCTGCAAAAACACAATTACATGGAAATATGAGCAACAAATGAAAGCCACAGTGGTGTAGCGGCTAGATACTCCGACCGCCGCCCCAAAGGTTGTGGGCTTAAATCTGCATCAAGTCAGATTTCTTTTAAAGGTGCTTGGCCCTCAACCAACCCTGAAATTGGAACCAGGTAAAGTCCTGGGAAGTAAAGGCAGCTAGTGAGATGCTGACAACATCATCCACCAAGTGCCGACTGGGCTATAAAATATAGGTCTAGCACTATACGAAGGGTGTGGAAAAGGGTCTTTTTATGTGTAAAAGAACCACACTACACATTCCAGTGCTAGTGTATTTGCCAGTAATTTACTTTGACATTAATAGAAATAATAGTTCAAATAAAATGGTTAAAGTAAAACTGCAGCCCCCCCCCCCCCCCCTTTTTTCTCTCACAAATTTGACATGGAAATATATTCAACACATATTTGATTACCATGGGGATGTAAAGTACAGACAAAAATTGACAGCATACTAATTACTTACTCTCTGTGATGACTTCTTGCTGTAAGTCTTCACTATAAGATGTTCATACTGCTGGAACACCGTCCCACTTAATCTGAAAGCCCTCTGAAGCTGCTCACACACTGACTCCATAGGAATCAAACCTGCATCTTCTGACTCCTCAACTCCACTATCATGAAGGGAGTATGGAGTGATAGGACGAGCTGGGGGTGCAGAGGAAGTCTGTGGTATATAGGAAGAAGAGGATGCTACTGATGATACTCCTCCTGTGGAGGTGAATGATGCTGTTCTATTGAGGAATGTTGAAATACTGCTTCCGCTGCCATCAAACATGATAGGGGAAGGGGTTAGAGGTGATGGAGGCTCTGGAGCAGCTAGTACTGGGTACACTGCACACAGATAGGCATGCTTGAATGCTCGAAGTTCCTGTAGATAAAGAAAAATTAATAAGCATAAGCGATTTCAGGGCTTTATTAGCATCCTACCCCAAACAGGGGAAATCCACAGGTCACGGGATAGTCTAGTATTTCAGGGGGTGGTAGACAGGCTGCATGCAGTCGTGGGACCTAGGCTGCACGCAGTTGTGGGACCTAGGCTGCACTCTCTTGTAGGACATAGGAAGGTTGGGGTTAGGGCCAGTTCTAGATATTTTGGGGTCGTTAAAAGCATCAGAAAGCCGGGAAGTCCAGTCCTACCACCCTCTAAATGTTGATCTGTCCTGTGACGTCATCTGGGGTAAGAAATTCATAAATACCCATTTTTTCTTTTAAAGATTCTATTTTTTATTGAGCCGCTTTAGTGTAGCGGCCAGATGCTCGCCTCAGGCCCAAAGGTTGTAAGTTGAAATCTGCACCAAGTCTGATTTTTTTTCTTTTTTCTAAAAACAGTGGCTCCTAGACTGACTAAGCCTAAAATGAGTACCAGGTAAAGGGCCTGGGAAGTAAAGGCAGCAAGCGTGATGTTGAACACATAACCCATCGAGTGCCAGCTGGTCTATAAAATATAGGTCTAGCACAATATGCCCAATAAGCTGAATGGCGTAGGAAAGGGTTCTTTACTGTTAATGTTTTTAATTAAATGCCCGTGCCTAAACAGCCAACTGTTTATTTGTATGTTGGATAAATGGTGAAGATGAAACCTGCAAAAAGTTGAACAAATCCATCACTCAAGCCACCTAAGAAGGGCAAGACAAACAAAGAAAACCAAACCACTGGGCTACAACCTGGTATCAGTGAGACGACAAAAGAAGAAGAAGAACTGTTTATTATTGTTTAAATTTGATTCTTTCACTTCTCATTTATCTTTGGTCTCCATATCTCTATCTGAGTATCCTCTCTTTATGTCCTTTTAGTCTCATGCCCTCTCTGTAGAGACTAATTTTTCGTCTCCTCTCCCCTACACATATTTCACAATCTCTTGCCTCGGGTCACTTCTTGACAGCTGATTTACTGAGCTGGTGGCAAATACTTTTATTTTTAAGTCCTCAGATTTAGATGTCTCCAGCACCCCTACTTTACCGGTCAAGTTTCTTGTAATTTGTAAACTGTAGTTCATCAGTGATGGTCTGACACCAAAAGACCTTACAAATCTGGTGGATAATATCTTTGAATGTATAGTCTAGCATCAACAGGCATTGAAAATCTGGCGGATAATATCTTTGAATGTAAAGTTTATCATCAACAGGCATTGAAAGTCTGGTGGATAATATCTTTGAATGTATAGTCTATCATCAACAGGCATTGAAAGTCTGGTGGATAATATCTTTGAATGTATAGTCTATCATCAACAGGCATTGAAAGTCTGGTGAATAATATCTTTGAATGTATAGTCTATCATCAACAGGCATTGAAGGTCTGGTGGATAATATCTTTGAATGTATAGTCTAGCATCAACAGGCATTGAAAATCTGGTGGACAATATCATAGACTGTTCAGCAACAAGATTTGAAAGTCTGATGGACAATATCTACACATGTAGTCTCTTATCCTGAGTGTTACAAATTAAATAGAACCTCTTAGTGAAAGCAAAATGAGGAGCATCAGATTTAACAAACTGTTGTTTAAAAAAAAAGGTAAATCAAATACTATTCTAAATATACAGCCATGGTTTTCATACCTTGTTTTCTAAAGATTTCACATCTGCAGTTGGTTGGCCATTTTTAGCACTCCCTAAAAGAAAAAAAAAAGAAAAATTTTAATAGCTTTAAAAAACATGAAAGAACTCTGAGGTCCAACATGTATTTGGTGCTAGCAACATATTTTTACAGACCATTCAAGGCTTGATGGGTTATGTGGTCAACATCATGCCAGCCTCTTTACTGCCCAGGACATTTTTTTTTTCAATCCATGAAACGGAAGATTTGAACCCATTACCACAAGCTATTAGGCAATCATGCTAGTCACTTGCATTTGCAAAATAATGGGAAGATGTGTTACATATATATAAATCTTCACAAACATATGCACAGGCATGTATATAAGAGCTTTTTAGGGAGTATCAGAACTTTTGTACCTAGAAAAAGCCACACAAACACACACAAACATACATGCCCGCACGCACACACACACCCACATATTTTCATTTTAGCTCTCATACTATAATTTATGCTTTAAGGAGCTGTGGCGACATGCATGACCAACCAAACACAGCCAGTGAGGATTAAGTTCCCGCAAATCAGTCTGTCCATGGTGATATATCTCAGGACGAATCATTGTCTCAATTTTAGTTCTTGTCATGGAGAAACTCAACATGTTGCAATGACTGCTGGCAATGGCAGTTACAACTTGCAGCTAACCAGCTCACAGCACACATGATAAGCACTTTCTTTTAACTTCTGCTTGGAGGGACTAAGTGCTTACGAGCTTGTCTGGCACACAATATACCAAACATTGTTTAATATCTATTTTTATGTGGCCAAGTCAACCAGAAATAGACTGGTAAGATAACATAATTCCCCTCTGATGGGTATGGAAGCCAAAACCCTCCCTGTGTGGGTTCTGTAGCCCCACTGGGGGAGGTTGGGGGAAAATAGATCCACAGCACCCCTAACAAGAAATGGTAAACATCGACTAATTAGCGTTTTTCTTCAAAGTCAGTGTGCATTTGCTTGAAAGGCGAGCAACCACCAGTCTGCATACAAATAAGCTAGATCCGTAAAATGGATGTGCAACAAACAAAAAAAAGAAAAAGAATTCAAGTTCTAGAACAAGATTGAAGTCGAGAAGTAGTTGAACAACCAGAACATCCCATCCGGTTCACCAGGAAAAGTTTAAAAAGGCTTCCAAGGAAAGGCAGGGATAACACATGAATGTTCTCCACCATTAAAGCAGACTTTTACTTTGTGTGGTAATTCATTACACAATACAGGGCTTCTTCAACTTACGACTGAGTTCCACTCACACTAACAGTTTGTAACCCCAACTGGCTGTTAAGTCCAATTTATATTTTTCAACACTATTTTCATTCAAACTATGTAATCTATTGTACAAAATCTGACCCTAACAATGTATAATAGTTCTTTATTAATTTTTTGAGTGGTTGTAAGTGCAGAGTGCCGTTAAGTTTCTAATAAGTCATAGGCCCAGGAGAAGGTGTATTTGTTTTTTAGTTAATTTGTTTGTTTTTTTTTGGTAGTAAGAAAGGTGGGGAAAAAAAACTTACCATCATCATCAGTTACCGAAGAAGGTACAAAACGCATGGAGTTGGAAGTCGACCGCTGACATGCCAGATGAAGACAGCATTTTCTGGACCTGATTTGTGAATATTTGACAAATACACACTTTACAAAAACTCAAAAAGATTGTATCCGTTCTGATTAAATAGTTCAATAAAATATTACTGAGAATACACAGCAACAGAAATGTATAAAGTATAATTAAATAACATAAATTCATCTAAAATGACAATATTCACTATACAATAAAATCAATCAAGATGGATTGAACAATGTCTTACTTAGCACTTGTTGACCTAAACAATTATTTCTGCATCACAAAGAGGATATTATGGCCCTTTTTAGTGTCAAATATAGAGACAGGAAAAATATATGTGAAGAAATATAAATGCTCATAAAGAACTTATGCTGTGCAAAACACAGAGAGTAAGTAGGGATTCATCATTCCCCCAATGAATAGAAGGGACATACATATATACAGTTTTGTAGATTCAATAAAGAGGCTTTTAAAGATTTAAAAAAAACACACACACACAGATATATACATGTGTGTGTGTGTATGTGTGTATATATATATATACACACACACATACACATATAAATGTGTGTGAGAGTGTGTGTATGTATATAATGACACACACACACACACACACACATAGGAGCTAAAGCGATGTAAAGGTTAGACCATTGCCTGCAGATCGGAAGGTCATAGGTTCAGGTTCTTTTAGAGCGGACTTTTTTCAAAAATTATCTTGGCTCCCAGGTTGACACAGCCTTAAATGGGTACCAGCTACAATCCTGGGAAGTAAAGGTGGCTGGCACGATGTTGACTACATCACGCACCAAGGGCTGATTGGTCTATAAAATATAGGTCTAGTCCTATACGCCTGAAGGTGTGGAAAAGGGCCATTTATTTTATATATATATATATAATGTAGGTACTTCAGTCAAATTTTCAAAATGCCCTCTACACCAATAAAACCAGCACAGTTAGATAGCTGTAAACAATCTCTTTCCAATGGTACCTCATTTAGGCTTGTATGTCATTTCTGAGCTGAGATATGTAGGTTTTTGTGGAGATGAGATGTAAGAAACAGCCGCTAAAACTTGTGACCCAGAAACAAGAAGTTTTTCTCTGCGCAACCTACTGCGCAGTTCTGTATCGGCTTTGTTGACATTGGACTGTCATTGGACAAGATGGCAGGCAGTAAGACTCAGCTCACTCAGCCGCATGCGATTGCCTAAAAAATGTCACTGTAAATCTAAACAGCCAAAGACAGGAAAGAAATTTTATATGCAAATGTAAAATTGGACGGAGAATTCAATTGTAACTAGCATTACCACATCTGGTAATGTTTAAGGCCTAAACCAACCTCGAATTTACCGCTATTTTCAATCAAACTGATAGACTAACAGAAAAACAGAGAATGTCCGGCTGTCGTAGACATGCGCTGTTAATCGGGTTCCTTCCCGCCGTTTTCAGCTATTTAAGAGTGGGTGAAAATCACACCAATGGCAAAATTTCATGAGAGATTAGGACCCATCCCGAAACCCCAGCCGAAATTTCTGAAACAAGTTTCAAACGGTTTCTATGGTAACGGAAATTGTCGAAAAGATCGCTAATTTCCGAAACTGTAGTAGCTATATAATGTATGTAAAAGCAATAGTTTGAGTCAGCTCACAAATCCAGTTTTTTTTTTGGGAGGGGGGGGGGTCAGTGGCAGGTAATTTGGCGTCAAAGAGAATAGAAAACAGGTCCTATAACTACGCCAATAGACTGAACAGACACTGTTTAGTGCGGTTAAGTTTTTTGGTTAAACTGCTGATTTCAATAACATGAATGAGGGCAACAGAAATGCTCAGATTTAAAGGACGGGTATGGGACACAAGAAAACTGCTGAACTAACCAATCTGACCAAACACTGATTTAAATGTGTGGAGATCTGAACACCTATGGAGTTTTCCAGCATACAGTGATGATAGTCTGTTTTAATTATTTTATATGACCAACAAAGAAAACAAAACAAAAACAAAAATTCAAAGGAACCCGGATTTGTTTGAAGGGTCTAAAGAACAGATATCTGATAAATTAATTTTAAATACATCTTAGCAAAACATAATGGCGGTCAAAGTGTAAATACATCAATAAGCAAACAAAAAATATGTGACGAGTACAGCAGAAACAAAAGAAAACCTACTCTAGCTGGCTGAAGTAGGCATGGATTTTTCTGAGAGCAGTGCTTTGGCTGGGGACAAACACATAAAATGTATGGGTAAATCATATTTAAGCTTCTCAAAAAATAATACTAAGTGAGACTGCTGCAAAAATCTCACTATTTAAATCAAGGAAAAGTGTTTTAAAGAATAATGTAAGTAAAAATTGTCATCAGTAGCTCTTTCATCACCAGGCAACTCACTCACCATATGCTTGCGGATTAATCTATATGTGGTATACGTTGCCTCATGTCCACTAACTAGTTCTTCGGATACCTACATTCCTCTCCATTGCAGTGGCTACTTTAACTCATCCTAATCCACACTTGTGTATTTAAGTTCTCTTAGACTCAAGGACTTTTGCTACAAAGGACCACGCAATGATTTATAACATGTTGAAGTGACAAATGTCTGGCACTGAAACAGTTAAATTATATATGTTTGAAGTAGGGCTGTACCGAATAGTGATTTTCACTATTCTGCCGAATACGAATAGCTGGACCAACTATTCGGCTGAATACGAATAGTGAATTATCATCATCAGGTCTATTGCCGACTGGCATGGGCGATTATGCCTTGCCACTATCTGCGATCTTCGGCAGCATGTATTAGTTCGTGTGCTGACACACCTCCGTGCCATGCAACAAGACTATAAAGAATCTTCTCTTGTTGTCTTTCTCTATCCCTCCTTCCACAGATTTTTCCAGTGGTCAACATATGTTCCATTTTTTACCTCATCTTATAACATGGCCGAAAACTGATGACTGTCTCCTTCTGATGTGTATGAGCAGTTGTCTTCGGGCTCCCGCCTCTTTCAAAACCTCTTGGTTGCTTTTTTTTTGCTGCCCAAGGTATTTTAAGCATTGTTCTGTAAAACCACATCTCTGAGGCCTTAAAAAATTGATAGGCCTGCCTATCAATTGTCCAGGACTCACAGCCATATGTTAAAACTGGATGTATGTAGCAAGCAAGAATTCTTTTTCCAACCTTGAATGACAAAGATATATTGCATAAGATGTTCTTCATTTTTTTTAATGCAGTTTTTGCCTGTCCTATTCTGTTTCTTATTTCAGTAATGCATCTTTCATCTGATGTTATCCATGTGCCCAGATACTAAAATTTTTGTAGTTGTCCCAAAATAAAACCTTTGACTTTTATTACACATTTGGGAATAATTCTTTTCTTTGATACCACCATTACTTATGTCTTCCCACTATTCAAACTGAGGCCCATTTTCCACTTTTGAATAATGTATAAAATAGATCTAAAAAAACAAAAAACATCCATAATATCAAATCTACGCTGAAATTTTACTCCACAAAATGTAGTACAGAATAGTAAACATTTAAAAACATTTCATGTTTTGCATCCTTCAGTCAGTCAGTCAGTCTGTGGTAACTAATACCTAGGAATGAAAGTATTCTTAGTTTTATAACAAGTAATTGAACTTGTAAATTGTCACTGACAGCTTAGTTAATCCATGAAAGCGGCATTAGCTTTAAAAAAAAACAAAAAACAATCGTTCCATGTTGTCAGCATTAAGGCAGCTTCTTGTCTCACTGCAGGTATTTCCAGCTGCACTAAACAGACGTTTTCTTGGTACGCTCATAGGAGGTGTACAAAGATAACGCTTGACAGTATGAAACAAGGTGGAAAATCTTGATATGTTTATTTTTTATCAGTCCAAAAACGGGTGTAAGGTAACCACTATTCGTATTCGAATACCGAATAGTTATTAGGTCTACTATTTGGCCCCAAAGGAAATATGAAGGGAATACAAAGCGAATATTTGGTACAGCCCTAGTTTGAAGTGACAAATGTTCGGACTGAAAAAATTAAATGATATTTATTAGAAGTGACAACTGTATGGCACTGAAAGAGTTAAATGATATATATCTGAATTGATAACTGGCACTGAAAGAGTTAAATGATTTATATTTGAAGTGACAACTGTCTGGCACTGAAAGAGTTAAATGATTTGTTTGAAGTGACAAACTGTCAGGCACTGAGAGTTTTAAATCTGTCTGAGAGGTGAGGAACCAACAGTTTGCATACAAAAAAACTAGACCATAAAATCGATGTGGACACAAAACCTGAGTTAGGAACAAAACTAAGTCCAAAAGGGAAAGAACAACCATAACTTTCCACTGAAGTTTATAGCCAGTGAATGTTTAGAAGAAGAAGGGTGTACTTTTTAAAACTTCTTAGGCTGCATCCAGTGGCTACAATCATGCATTCTATTTCAATTATTACAATATCCATTTTTGTTCAAAACTATTACTATCTGAACTCTTTTAGACAGCAAGGACACTTGCTAATTGAAAGTAACAACTGCTAAATATAGGACTATTTTAAATAACACTGAAAAAGTTAAAGACTTTCTCTCTCTTCTGTTCATCCTTTTCTACCTCCTCTATACACACCTATACAAACAAAAACTTTTCTACCTCCTCTATACACACCTATACAAACAAAAGACAGACACAAAATTTCATGCAACAACTTAAATGATTTGTAAAATGGATACATCTTTATTTAGCAACTATTTCACGGTCTGTCAGGAATAGGCTATAGTTTTAAACTGTCTAGCTTTAGGTGTCAGATGTAATGATGACGAGATTAGCACTGACTTAACAATAGTGTTATCTCTAGTGGTGTAAGGGCACTTTCCAGGACTATATGGTTCTAGGGCCCAACTTATCTCATTAAATTTTACATGTTAAAGGTTAAAGTTGAGAGGATCGACTTCAATGCACTGGGTTTTATCCCATATGGCTTGATTTCTCTCTACAGAATGGCTAGTTGCCTGTCGAGTGTGGCACAAAGCACAAGCACTGAAGCTGTGGTGATGATCCTAAAGTGTCTGTAAAAATTGAATTTATGAACCAAAACATGAAACGAATCCATAACCATTAGATTGTGAGACAAATGGCTTAACCACTTCACTAAGGAGACCTTTGTAATTGTATATGTGAGATATTATGATACAGAAGTGTTTCCAGGACAACACAGCATGAGGGTCCAATCTATTATTAATTAAACCCCATCTTGTGCCACATAGTCCAATTTGTGTGACTGACATGACCCAGAGATATATTATTTTACAATCTCTATGTGGACTGAAATGGTTGGGGCATACTAAAATAATGTCAGATGACAGAGAAGTAAAAACTATACTCAAGGGAGACGAATGGTCGTAGACCACGAGGCAGACCAAGAAGACTATGGAGAGATAATATCCAGACAAACCTGCAAACACTTAGTGACACCAACTGGAAAGAAAAGGCCAACCAGAGAGATTAATGGAGGCAGGTGATTTCTGCAGCAATGATTCTCAAGGGCTCAGAATGCTAAAGAAGAAGAAGAAGAACTCTATGTGGAATAATTTTCTCTTATAAAGAGCTACAACTTTGATTACCAAAAAAAAAAAAAATAGGTTAAGGATCCTTTCCAACCCTTCAGGTGTACTGGGCATATAGTGTTAGACCAATATTTTATACACCAACTGGCACTGGGTGGATTATGTGGTCAACGTCACTCCAACCACCTTTACTTCCATGATACTACCTGGTACCCATTTAAGGCTGGGTCGACATATGAGCCAAACCTTTTGGAAAAAAAAGTGGCTCTGCTCAGATTTAAATCCATGACCTTTGGATCCACAGGTGAGCATCTAGTTGCTGCACCACAGAGCCTTCCTTAAAATATATAATTCATCCTTATTGTCCTGTATTACAAAGACAAGTTAACCAAGAAACAAACACTTTTTTCTTTACCCCAGAAGCATTGATCCCAGGCTTTGTGTCTCCAACTCCTGCTGCTCATGCGACCCAGAAAACAACTCTCCCACATCTCCCTGTGCCCAGTGTTGCTCTTCAGCCTCTTCAACATACTCCAGTATAGTGCTAGGCTTCAGCTGTGCCACACTGCTATGGGTTGAGAACATTTCCTAAATGAAGGGTAGATAGAATAGATAAGAGCTAATACAACTGTGGGCAATACACACAAAAGTTACACTTGAAGCAGCAAAGACCGTCAAGTCATCAAGTAACATGAGAGGGTCAGAAATACAAACGTGCATACGGAAGCTCTTATAAAGCATTACTATATAAAAAGCTTCCGTGTGTGGGTTCCGGGGCTCTAATTTTGAGAATAAACAATAGACTCACTACTGCCTAATAGGAGGTGACTAATTAGGGATGGTTCCTTGAAAGTCAGACTGCATCTGCCTGAGATGCAAGGAACCAATAGTCTACATACAAAAACGCCAGATCTGTAAAACAGATGTGCACGCAAAACTAGAGTTTTAGATCAAGGCTAAAATCCAATAGCGAATGAAAAAGCAGAACTTTCCGTAAGAGTTTATAGCAGGTGAGTGGTAAATAAAAAGTATTGCATCCTAATGATAACATACAAATTGCATGCACCTAAAAAGCAAATACAGGGTATCCCATAAGTTTTTACATTGGAAAAATAAACAACACAAACACCATTAAAGGCATAACATCAGCTGTGCTTATGGTGACCAGCAGTGTTTCCAAAATAATGGTAGTCATGTAGAGAACGAACAAACGAACGAACGAACAAACAAACTTTATTTTCAAAGGGTTACAAATTGGGCACGCAGGCCCATCTGACATTCGGCCCTTCTAAGCACTCATTTTTCAGAGTACGAATCAATAATGCATGTTATGGATATAATAAAGAAATATACATTATAGAATAATGCATACACACATCATGTGTACACAATCTTACACACTCATACACACAGATATATATACTCTTACATTCTCATACATGCACACTTATATACAGACTTACCTAATACATACATACATACATCTACATACATACACAAACAGAAAAGACACACACATACATATATGGACATACATACACACACACACACACTCCATACGCGTGCATACACACACACACACATACAATCACATGTACAGACACCCACAACCACACATTTATACTCACATGCAAACATACATATATACACACACATACATGTATACATACACACATCCATACATACACCTACATCTTTACACACATACATACATACTTAAATACACACACATACACCCACATACTTATACAGCTACAAATGCATACATACATCCACAAACATGCATGCATAAACACATACATGCATACATACACCCACATACATGCCCACACAAATTACATACACACACACACATGCATGCATACACACATATACAATCACCCATACTGAGATAAAAAAAATTGTTGTGGTAACAACATGTTTACTTTCTTACGCATGGAAACTTGTGGAACATCCTCAAACAAACACTGGAAGCATGAAAACTTCACTACTTTACCAGAGAAACCTGATAATAACATCACAAGAAATTTTTTTCAATGTGGCACAGAAGCAAATGATAGGAAGCGGCCTACACACATGGGAGAAATAACTAGACAAGAGATAATAATATAAGGACATGCAGAGTTCAGGATGGCTCGATGTGGTTTAGCTGAATGTTTATTCACCAATGGGAGATAAAAAAACGTAAGAAGAAGTAAAGAGTTTGCAAAGGGAAAGGAGGTAAAGCACTAGCTAGTATGCTTTCCTGTATGATCTTTGGTCATGTGTTTACATTTCTGAGGCAGTTTGTTAAATGTGGCATATGCTCTCAGGTTTACCTGGCCTAATCCAGGATACCAGGAAATGTTAGCTGGAAATGTCAGCTAATGCAGCCACTCATGTAAAATGTTTTTGAATTAATTAGCTGTCTTGAAATCTACTGTTGAAACGTAAGATACTACCATCCTCTAAGGATTGGTTTTGCTTTCTGCTTTTGATGTTGTAAAAGAGTTGCCAGGCTTTATTCCCTTCTCCTTTCATGTTTATTTATTTAAATATATCCTGCTTGCTTGTCATTCAAAGATTTAATATTTTGTAGTCGCCTTTTTTTTACATGTGTTAGGGTATTTTCAGCCTTTTCAAGCCTCCTCCTATGTTTCAGCTAGATCAGAAATCCAGCAAAGTGTGCACTTTCCTTATTGTTTTCTTTGCAATGCACTGTTTAGCAGCTGCAAGGATTATGGAGCAGATACTGTTAAGTTGATGTCATATGCTGTAATGAGTGTAAATAACTCAACATCAGTCTTTAATACAGTAACTATGGTTTGCTTTCTTGATGTTCCAGGATGGCATATTTGGCAATCTAAGCTCTGTGTAGAGGCTCTAAATCCTAGTAGGTGATGATCACTATCTCCAAGCTCCAGTAGATTGATGGTAGCATCTTCTGCAATTTCTGCTGACATAAACACCTTGTCATTATGTATTGTGTGCTGTTTGGACAAGATTTGGTACAGTTTCTACATTCTGGAGCACCAGCCAAGTTAAGAATGGACATCAAAGCACTCTGGACAGCAGCCACTGCAGAGTTCCAATTACAATAGTACCACCAAACATCCATAGCAAATTCTGTTGAAACATGGTCATCATGAGAATGTTTTGTCATGGACATATTGTACCAAGAGACTATATGACTAAAAAATGTGTTTCTTTGTTAGAAGTTATTCATTTGCATGTCACCTAATGTAGCCACAATCCAGACCCTGCACAGTAAAGTAAAGGACGTTTTCCACACCTTTCAGGCTTACTGGGTATATAAGGCTACACACAAAAAATAAACCCTGTACAGACTCCTTATAAATAATCTAATTATTCAATTTTTTTAGTAAATACCTGAAAGGGTTAAAATAACTATGCTTATAAATGAAAGTTACTGAGAGGAACATTAAATACCAGTAGTTCTTGAGTATTGTTAGGCAAGTAGTATTCAATAGCACCTTTACTTCTAATCCTCTTTTGCTTTATTCTGGAGTCCAGGTATGTTTAGCTGAAGGATGCTCTTGATATTCACTTAAGCTAATCTTCCACATGTTTCAAAGGGCTGGACTGAGAACTGAAACCAAGTTCTATTTACAACACACACTGAAGGATAACAAGTCTGCGCTGCAGGCATCCCAAAATACACAATAAAACACTCCTTCTCTATGATTTCTGGGTCACTGACGTTACTCCTCTATGTTATTATGTCAATATCATACCCTACTTTCTCAGTTCTGTATCTGTACAAAGACTATAACAGTATCATATACTACTTTCTCAGCTGTATATCTGCACACACACTGTGACAGTGTCGGATTCTACTTTCACAGCTGTATATCTGTACATCAAGTGTTGCAGTGTCTTATCCTACTTTCTTATTCAGATTCTACTTTCACAGCTGTATATCTGTATATCAAGTGTTGCAGTGTCATATCCTACTTTCTCATTTGTATATCTGCACACACACTGTTTTAGCATCTTATCCTACTTTCTCAGTTGTAAAACTGCACACACTGTGATAGTATCATATCCTACTTTCTCAGTTATATATCTGCACACACGCACACACACACTGTAAACTTGTCATATCCTACTTTCTCAGTTATATATCTGCACACACTCACACACACACTGTAAACTTGTCATATCCTACTTTCTCACTTATATATCTGCACACACGCACACACACACTGAAAACTTGTCATATCCTACTGTCTCAGTTATATATCTGCACACACGCACACACACACTGTAAACTTGTCATATCCTACTTTCTCAGTTATATATCTGCACACACTGCAACAATCAAATGTCCTACTTTCTCAGTTGTATATCTGCACGCATGCACACATGCAGGCACACACACTGTGACAGTGTCATATCCTACTTTCTCAGTTATATATCTGCACACACTTTGACAATGAAATTTCCTACTTTCTCAGTTGTATGCACACATACTGTGACAGTGTCATATCCTACTTTCTCAGTAGTATATCTGCACATACACTGTAACACTGTTGTATCCTTCACTCAGTTGTATATCTGCACACACACTGTGTCAGTGTCATATTCTACTTTCTCAACTGTATATCTGCACACACACTGTAACAGTGTCAAATCCTACTTTATCAGTTGTATATCTGCACATACACTGTAACACTGTTGTATCCTTCACTCAGTTGTATATCTGCACACACACTGTGTCAGTGTCATATCCTACTTTCTCAGTAGTATATCTGCACATACACTGTAACACTGTTGTATCCTTCACTCAGTAGTATATCTGCACATACACTGTAACACTGTTGTATCCTTCACTCAGTTGTATATCTGCACACACACTGTGTCAGTGTCATATTCTACTTTCTCAACTGTATATCTGCACACACACTGTAACAGTGTCAAATCCTACTTTATCAGTTGTATATCTGCATACAAACTGTGATAGTGTCATTTCCTACATTCTCATCTGTATATCTGCACACACACTGTAAGTCATATCCTACTTTCTCAGTTGTTTATCCGTATACAAACAGTGATAGTGTCATATCCTACTTTCTCAGTTGTATATCTGCACACACACTGTAAGTCATATCCTACTTTCTCAGTTGTATATCCGCATACAAACAGTGATAGTGTCATATCTTACTTTCTCAGATATATACATGCAAATTGTAACGGTGTCATATACTACTATCTATTTTTTCACATTTACCTCCTCTGTGGCTTTATATCCCCCTTCCCTTTTCTCTCTCTCACATGCATGCACACAAATATTTTTTCTCTCTTGCAAGAGCGTGAGCATACTCCCTCTCCTCTCTCACACACACACTATAGTTCTCTGTTGCAACCAGGTTTAAGTGGTATCGCAAACCACAGAGAAAGTCAGGATGGTAAAAGCAACAATGTGTTCTGATATATTCACTGCAGTGGTACATTAGGCATGGCCAGGATCTCTTCAGGTACAGAGACAGTTCAAAGTAATACTACCGCCTTTTATGGATCTTTTTAGGTAAAGTAAAAAATAAAGAAAAAGAGGTTGGTAGTTGAGTGACACATAGTCAATGGAAACA